ATATAAATATATATATATAAATATATATATATAAATATATATATATATATATATATATATATATATATATATATACCTAACCTATATATATATATATATATTTATGAATGTTAATTTTTCTCCTCTCCTATTCATCTAACTAAATTGTTTGTTTAAATTTATGTAAACAGATAATTAATTATATCAATGATAATTTTTAAAAATTGATTCATCCTTAATATTATAATGTTATGGTATACTTAAAACCATTTTTTAACCATTCAACAAATTTGCAGATTTTAACTCTAAAATCTTATTGCTGTAATGTTTATGACAAATGAAAAAAAAAAAATATAGATTATTAATTTTAAAAAAAATTTAGAATTTAATTTAAAATAATTTTTTATTTTAAAATTTAAAGTTCTAGATTTTAAAGGGAAAAAACTTTAAAATCTAATTTTTTCTTTGGTCTTTCTAAGTGTTATTGCAAACATTCTTGTGTTTTGCGCCTCCCTAGCTATTTGTACAAGCCCCCTGGTTTGGGAGCCAGTGGATTCTATGGCTTATAGTCATCCATTTAGAACCATTGCCCCTACAATCGTTTTTTATATATTGTGATCACACATAGGAAATTATAAATGTGCCACAATAATTTGTCATCATGATTGTGTTTCCATGGCTAGAATTAAACAATATTTGAATTTATTCAAATATTAATTATTGTTGTAAAGTAAATTGTGCTGATTTTTATTATCAAACAATGGTAGGAACTTATATTTTATATTTATTACTATTAAATGTTATTTGTGGCGGTTATCATTTTCGTAGTATAAAAGGGAAAAAAAAAGAATAATTTTCTCTCAACGAAAGGAAAACATACTAAGAATATTTCGATTCCGTTCAAGGTAAGCATTTTTAATTAATTAGTTTTTGTTTTTACAAATTATAAATCCGTCACTAATTTGGAATCAGTACTAATCGCCATCAATTTAAACCAATTATTTTTTAGTACTAGTTTATTTCTAAATATATTTCCTATTATTGTCTTAATATTTAGCTGTATGTTATTTACTTAGATATGTAAACTATAAACGTGTTATCTATATTTAATATATATTTTAATTAAACCTAGTCAAGTTACTTTTTTAGAGAAGTTTAACCTGGTTTTATTACATTTCTGTGAATTAAAATCCAATAAAACAACAATCCAATATAAATATTGTCATAACTAAGATTTACAGTGATGGTGCAAGTAATTCATAAAAACTTAAATACCCCAGGTCCTAACGAGCCAAGTTTCATTAATAATAAAAATAATATAATGTAATAACTAAGAGTGTTTAAAATAATATTAAATGGTTATTATTTTATGTATTACATGAATCACCTAAATTGGTGGGTGGGTGTCAGCTCTAAGTGGTATATAGTTATAATTTAATAGGTGTAATTGTAATTTCTATAAAATTGCACCCTTAGTTTCAACGCAGTTTAAAAGAAAATATATTCATTTATCATTAGTGTGTGTGCATAAGGATATAAAACAGAATAATTAACATAAATATTGATTGCGTGTGCCATGTGTTTTATTTAGATATTTGGACAATAATTATTGTATCGATATTAATAACACGGACACCCGCTTTTGAATTGTTTTCTGTGTAACCATTAAATATAAATAATAAAAAATTAATTTTCATTTTATAAGATATTTAGCTTAAACGATATTTATTTTCAATGTATAAATAAATAAACAAATAGTTTATAAATACGTACATATTAAAAGCTTAGTGCATAGCAGTCACCATCTTAAAAAAAAGACAAAGGATATACAACAGTTTAATTCAAAAGTAATCAAATAAAAATAAGAAACTATTGAATGTTAATACTTGTACATATTATTCTTGTTTAAAAATTCGGGTTTCTATGATTAATTTTTATTGTCATCGTAGACCGTAGTTTTAGAAATTTATAATGTGGTTGATGAAAAGAAACACTACTCAGAATAAACATATTAAAATCCATAGCACATACATCTTGGGGAGCTCACTCTAAACCATTACTACAAATATACAAAGCCTTAATCCTTTCAAAAATTGAGTACGGATCCTTTTTATTTTACAATGCCAAACAAAACAACCTACAAATGATAGACACTATACACAACGCAGGCTTAAGAATTTCCATAGGCGCCTTTAAATCAAGTCCATGTAGCAGTATATATAATATTGCCGGAATACCATCCCTACAAATTCGTAGACTACAGAACGTTATGACAACAGCATCCAGAAGAGCCCTAAACAGTCAAAAAATCATGGAAAACATTAAAGACACGTTAAAAAAAATAAATTTTTCACACATTGGAATGATTACCAGAGAAAATGCCTTAGTCCCTCCTTGGACAGCCAAATTAGACATAAACTTAGAAATAAATATACTTCAAAAAAATGTTACGCTACCACATACATATAGACAATACTTTATGCAAATAAGAGAACTTTTTAAAGATTACACCGAAATTTACACTGATGGTTCCAAATCTGACAAAGGTGTTGGTGCAGCAGTGGCATGTCAAGATACGGAAATAATGTTAAGACTGCCAAATGAATGTTCCATATACACCGCGGAAGCACAAGCCATAATTCAAGCTCTAGATCTTATTAAAAATAAAAATATTCAAAAAGCCATAATATTTAGTGATTCTCTTAGTACACTTAAGAGTATACAAAACTCCATTAGACCAAACGAGATAGCAAGAACAATCCAGAACCAAATATATACATTACAAAAAGAAAACATCATCATACAAATAATCTGGATACCAAGCCATACAAATATCATTGGAAATGAAAGAGCTGATAAACTTGCTAAAGAGGCCATCGTGTCACCAAATGCAATCCAATGTCAAGTGTATTCAATTGCCGACATCAAACAAATAATTAAAAAAACAATCCTCAATATCTGGCAAAATGAATGGAAATCATCTAATACTAAATTAAATGAAATTAAAAATCATATTCTCCCTTGGCCTAACAACACACTCACAAGGAAAGAAGAAGTAGTCATCAATAGGCTCAGAATAGGCCATACCAGATTAACTCATGCTTTCCTAATGAAGAAAGAAGACCCACCTATATGCCCTACCTGCAACGATCCTATGACAGTTAAACACATCATCAACGATTGCAGAAAGTATGAACTACAACGTCAAAAATATAATCTAACCAACCATATTGCTGAAAACCTTAACATCGATACAACCAATGTTCTAAAATTCCTCAGAGACACAGAACTTCATAAAAAAATTTAAAATGTTTAGAATAATATTTTCCTTAAATGTATTGTATACCCTCTTGTAATGTATTAATGTTAAATCTAGACACAGTCCTATTTATTAATTTGAACTACTTGTCACTATATCTATATATATATTCAATATCCCTCTTTTTAATGTAAATAATATGTAATTACTTGTAGCCAATGGCCCTAGTCGCCGAGGCATTTGTTTAATAAAAAAAAAAAAAAAAAAAAAAATGTGGTTGATGGGCTTTCGGTTGTGGTGGTACGATAACGGAATACTCACACTAACGTCCATTTACTTATATTATTATTATACGTTGACAGCTCAAATATAAATGCTATACGAAATGCCTAAACATTACTCCTTAAAACATGGTATGCTCCAATCTTAACTAGAAAATAATGTTACAATGAAAATCTAACATCTAGATTAATTAATCTTAAAATTATCTACAATAGTATTACCTAAAGTTAACTATCTTAAAAGTTCGGCCGTTTGACGGTAATATATTAATATACCTAATTAAAACTCGATACACTAAATGATTATTTTTAATTACTAACTAACCTTTTTGCTTGTCCGCACCCCATAATTCACCTTTACCTACACTCAGAGCTTGCGTTAAGGAAATATAAGAGCTGCTCATCGTGTTTGTTTTACAGAAGTGAAAAAAAATTGATGCTAGCATACAATAAATAATAAATACCAATACTAACATCAATATTAAATAATATATTAAACGTAATAATGTATATCGAGTTTAATAATTGAAAAAACAAATTCCTTTAATCTAATTTTAAAATGAATTTTTGCATAATTGTAGCATCTGGAAACACCATTGAAATAATTTTGTTGCTTAGTCTTTGTTCTTTTAATTACTCTATGATTTTTGCTGTTATCCATTTGACAATTGACATATTAGAATCCCAATCATACAAGGGAGGCTTGTTATAATTAATGTATAATATGTACATATTTACAGTTGAAACATTCATAGCGGAACGTAATGGAGACTTAATAAATTACTAATACCGTAGTTTTAATCTCTTGATATTCATAGATAAATATTTATTACCAATGTTTTAATCATAATTCCAGAAAATAAAATAATGTCAAATGGTACCTATGTTACAAACTCATAGACATATAGAATTAATTATTAAAAATTAAAATCATATTTTTTTTATGAACTGCACAATATTTTATTTTAGAACTGCTAATTAGCGCAAGCTAAGCTCTGCCCACGCAACTGCTGCTTATTATTTATTGGAAGAAATTCGTATCCTCAATTAAGACTCATAAATATTATAATAATTAGTAATTTGTAAATTTTTTTCAATAAATGTGAGTTTTAAGGATGTGTGATTGCAGATGATAATGCAGCAAAATCAACTTTTATTTCAGAAGTGGAAACACGAAGTAGGTAACCGAATGATTTTTCAGTTATTAAGCGATTTCTTTGTTTTAATTTAATATGCTTTGTATTAGAAAATGTAAATTCACGAATGTAAGTAGTTCCAAACATAGATAACATTTTTTATGTACAGTTTCACAAAAGTGGGTCTTTTCAGTATGTTATTTTTTCTAAAAACTTACGTTCTTTTTGTTGACAAATAGAATCATTTTGCAACTTACATAATTCTAATTTGTTGAATTTTTGTTAGATTTTTTTTAAAATGATTTTCAATTTCAACTAACATAGAATGTTGAAAATATTAAAAATAATTTAATATTTTAATATTAAAATATTGAACAAATATATTTGAGGATGCTTAAATTCAATTTCTTAAATCGTCTTTCGAATTCCTTAATTAATTCGTTTAAGTAAGGAGTCCAAGTAATGCAATGTTCAAAATTAAATTGTTCGTCCAACTCTATTTTTATAACTCATAAGAAAGAAAACAATAATTTCTTTTCAACAATTATATTTTTGAAAGTTACCAATTTTTCTTAATCCATAATAGATCTAATAATTCGAGAAATTGTTTATTTTTATTATCTTTTTGCAAATTTAGTTTATTTAAATATTGAAAAATATCAATTTAAATGCTAATTGTTTATCTTCCATTTAGTTTTCTAATTAATTTTAGTTGTAAAATTCGTGTTATGATTTTCATTTTATCCTAAATTAAAAAACGCTTACCGCCATAATTTATAAGTTACAATTAACGTTAAATTGTATAGAATAATTTGAAAATGTAGCTCGGGCCATATACAAAAAGGGACGCACATAGTTTACGCATATTTACTAAAATTACAACTCGTTTGCGTACATAAAGATTTTTTTTTTTAGTTCAACCATTTATTTGCGCACATATTTCTCTTCCCACTTATACAGCTTAGGACTGTCAGTAAATATTTTAACTTAACTAATGTGGTTAAAAATGTGTTATTTTTATATACTTATGAGTTGAAAATATATATAATTAATTAGGTAAAAAAAAAAAATGCAGTCATTTGATTTTTAATTTTCTTATATTTATTTTAATTTACTTCAGTGGTTTATTTTGAAAGCGATTACCCATTTGTTCTAATTAATTAAATTGGTCAGTTTCATTGTCTGCCATCTTAGTCCACCCATTTTTCGTGTACTCAATTGTTTGTAATATTTCTTTCCGACGATAGTTATTAACATTAATTTTTATTGCATTTAAATTCAGTTTCTGATTGAATATTAAAAATTATATCAATACTTTTGTACACATGTGGATGTGGGTTGTAGAATAATTATATTATTGTGTATATCATTTATTGATTATGATTGTAGTATTAACTATTGATTATTAAAATAAATATAGAAAGCTGCGTTTGTTGTTCTTGAATGATCATCTGGTTTTTCTGCCCACAGGGATGAGTTAAAGTTTGAATAATTGTGTTAAAGTGTAGTATTTCATAATATCTTGTGTGCAATCGACTGTTCGCTTCTACAACATGCTGTGCGCATTCAAGTGGTTATCATTTGGATATAGGTTAATGGATTGATTAAATTCTTAGCTAAAATATATTAATAATTATTTACTTAAATTTTTCTGTATTTGGATATAAAGAACCTGTATTTGCATATAATAATCAAAATATGTCAGGATTGCCATATGACCAATGTAGTTTAGAAATTGTTATTGATAAAAATTTAAAAAAAAAATAACTTTTCAAGTAATGAGGTCAATAATTGAGAGCAACTATGTATAGAATAATTATTTAAATATAACAGTACACAATTTAATTTTATCTAAAATTTCATTTTTTTTCATTAAATTATATTTTATTATGGTCGTATTCAGGAAGTTCCAGGTCCACCCTCTCCAAAATGCATTGAAAAAAAAATTTAATTTTTCTTTCCTTTATATTTCTGAAAAAAATTTTTCTAGTTTTTATTCTTTTTATTTGAAAGCCAAAAATAATATATAAATATAATTATAATAAATATGTGACGTTTCGTTAATCCCTACCAAGGTATTTTATGAGCGGAATGAATGAATAATTCTTGACACGTTTAACTAACATTTATTTTATTCGTATTTCGTTAGTTTACCTTCAGAAGACTTAAATAATATTTAATTCTTACTCTAGTAGACAGACGTATTATTTCTTCATTTGTAGTAAACAAGAAATTGTTCTTCGAAAATCAAATGATTTTGGAAATGTAATGAACATAAATTTTATTTTATAATGGACATTTTAAAGCACTTTGACGGTTTTTTGTATATTTGGTTAACACTATTCTAGAAGAACATTTGAATAATAGTTCTATTTTTCAAATCTGAATTTTCAATAAGGAAATCAAAGTGGTTTAGAGAACTGTCACGCCCTAAACAGCAATTGCAGAGCTTGACAACTGTAACATCCTATTATTTTCCAGCTTATAGAAACTTATATTAACAGCAATATCAGAGAGAACATTTTCTTGATTTAAAAATGTTAAAAACATATTTTAGGAACTCAATTAGTGAAACTCGTCTCGAAGAATTAACATTAAACTATTATATGGTTATATTTAATTCAAATTCTTAAAAATAGTTTTAGTTAAAATATAAAAATAAAAAATAAATATTATATTAAAATGAAATTACTTCCCCCCCCACAAAAAAAAAAAAAAAATAATAAATAAAAATTAATGCTGGATACGGTCATGTTTTTTACAATTGCATAATAAAAACGCTTTTTTTTTTTATTAAACTTACCAATTTTGAAGTATCTACTTATATTATTTTTGAGCTTAAAATGTAAGGGGAAAAAGAGTGTCTGACAGTTTGTCAAAGGGATTTAGTGGTTGGAAGTGAAGTATAAAAGTTTGAAACTCATCGCACAGAGGCTAATATTTTTAGAGGTGGAACTAGGAATTCTTACGACTGGGGAAAATGTTACAACTACCCCCTATCATAGACCACTAATCAAATAATCTTCTGAAGAATTTTTTTCTAATAATTAATATACAATCGTATTTATTGAGTTTTAACTAATTATCAGTATTTAACAAATATCAAATTAGTTAATAATTAAAAATATTACACTCCCTAAAATTGTACTCTCGGAGATGAATACCCGTGTTCCACCCTCTAGTTCCACCCCTGAATACTTCTACCCTGTTTTTTCCTTGCTTACCATCTATAAAATTATACCTCAAAACACAAGTTCAATTTAAGAGGAACTAAAAAATTATTGAAATGTTGATGAAATAGTTTTAAATTATATAAAGTTTGATTTATGAAAAAAAATTGTTCGAAAAGGTAATAAAATAGTAATATTCATCTAATTAAAAAAATTATTACAGTAAAATTTTTGTTAATGGATGGCTTATTTTCTCATTTGAAATACCAGTGCTATGTTTAGATATTTGCTAAAATAAAAATTATGTTATTATTGATAAGAAATATTCACTAATCATTTCTACTAAACGATTTATTTAGTATGCTAGAACGTTTAGAATGTACAATTTAAAAAATATACAATAAGTAATTCCATAAAATTTTAATATAGAAGTAATTTTTTTTTTTTTAAATATTCAACTTTTTAATTAAAATAAGTTTTATATCCACAGTGTTTTAATACTTTAGTAATGAATTAGGTACGTAAACTATAAAAGTATATCTAACCTTTCACTGTTTTTTGATATTTATTTTGGATCATAGTATTTATTACTATTTATTTCATCAAAATTTGAAATATTTTCGTCCATTTTTATTTATTACTATAGACTTTTTTGAATGGTGAAAAACTAATGGCCATAAAAGAAAAAAACAAAAATTCTATCAAAAACCATTTCTTTTGGAAATGCTTATACACTATTTTGTTTGTATCCTTAACTATTTTATGCACATCCATTTGGTGTTACACGGTCGTTATATCCATAGAAGACAATCAGATCGATTGATGATTATCCGCCTGAATAAATAACACAAGGCATAAAATATAATTTTTTTACTATTTTCTGTACACGGTCTATCTTAATATTAGGGTACCTTTATTATTGAATGAAACGTATTTATATTTTTTATATTTTTCGTTTTTTTATAAATAATGTAAAATAATGGTTATTATTACGAAATATCTTTATAACTTGTGTTGTTATTGGATATAAATAATAATTTAAGAGAAAAATTTAATCGCGTTGAAGTATTATAAAATAAAATCTATTAATATTTACATATAAATGTACCTAGATACCATTTGAAATAGTAACTATGAAATAAATTGTTAAATTAAAGAAAATTGTTTAAAAATATTAAAAAATTGTGTGCAAGGGCAATGAAAATAAAGATTGATTGGTAGGATAATGATTTATCACGTGGTTAGTTATTGATGTTAAACTTTTACTTATATGAATACATTCATTTTTAACTTATGAAAAATAATTAAATTTAATACATAGTTATGCATTTTGTTTCAAATTTGATATAACAAAAAAAAAAATAATAATAATAATGTTTAAATTGATTTTATTTCGGGCTCCTTTTCAATTCAAATGAATATTTCGTTTTTTACTAAATATTTCCTTTAAAAGGTGCTTTAATTGAATCTAAAAGATTTTGTATTTAGTCTTGCTTTATATTTGTTAAGTTATTTAGCCTATATATGTTACTTAAAATTGTTTTTTTCTTTTTTTTTTCATCTAATTGTGATGGAAATTATGTGGTCAAATTCGTTTTAGAAATAATATTAAATCGACCTCTAAGTTCTTTATTTTAATATTATATTATACCTATCATTGTTATTAAATGTATACATATGATTAATTTTGCAATATAGTAAGATATTTACAATTCTAGTCAATATCTTACCTGATTTTTTTTTGTAGTACATTTTTTCGTTTGTTTATTACATTGTATTACATATATACATTATATATTGTTTTAGTTGGAGAACACACATTTGGATTTTCCATCAATTTCAAATAAATGTTGCAAAACAACCTGTTACCACCAACCATCATCGTATCCATCATGTCAACATATTCATTTACATATCAACAAGACTCAAAGTGAATACAGGACTGGTTGGAAAGTGTCTTGTTTGTACATAATTGTGGTGATAATAATTTTGGGGATATTATTGCATTGTTTCCATTACCATTATGGACTAGGAGTTTACTATGTAAACAATGAAGAAAATGAAAATATGTTGGGTGGAGAAGTTTTTGATCATAACGTCAAACATTTTTCAAGTCTGAATATGCCTTAATGTAAATATAAATCGGTGTTATATATTGGGTCTATACATATTATATTTATCAATAAAATAAATTAAAATATATTTCGTATGAAATGCATTGATAGTCTGAACTATATATTTATAGTAAATATTCATAATATATATTCGTATATTATTAGGATAATTCCTTAGAATTTTGAAAATTCATTAATTAATTGAACTACATCAAGTGGAGGGAGATTTCCACCTGTCGGGTGGGCGACAACTCCTGAATTTATCATCAAAACAATTGGTTTATACAATACTAACTGTAGTGCTTTGGATCCATTGTAACAGAAATAAATTCTTCAACAATTTCTCTGTCCATGCCTGTGTATATTCTATGTATATCCAAATCATTGGATGGTCTTCTTTCTCGTTTCTCCATTCTTGTAGGTTTTGGCTTTTGTATTGTTTTGCTTTTCCACTTAGGCAATGCTCCTGTTTCATCGTAAATGCTCTAATAAAAAAATAAGAGATTACCTCATAGAACATTATATACCTACTCATTTGAGTATCCGAACTTTACATCGATTAATGCAAATGGTTTATCAAAACATAAAAGGCTCTAAAATTAATAATGATTATAGAAATTTAAATATAACGGATATTTTAACAATGACATTATAAGTTGTATTCTTTTTAGATAATTAAAAATGTTTCGATTTGTGTGCGTTCAGACTTGTTAACTAATAACAATGAATGAAAATAACTCATGCTAGTTATGTATTCTATAAATATAAAAATGTATAAACTCGATACGCGTATAAGACTACGTTGAAATAAAAGTTTCATATAGTTTGAAACAGTGGAAAAATTTCAGTTTTTGATTGTTAAGGGTATACGTTTTGATTGGCTCATATAAAAATTGGGAAAAAAACCATTCGTTTCCCACACACGTTTTTACTTAGGTATATACTACGGCGTTTACTAGTTCCGACGACCCATATTTAGTCTAGTTAGGTCCCAGTGTTTTTTAGGTAGATTACTAGTTGGGTCCCTCGATTTTACAAGTACTACTCTAGTTGGTTCACTACCAAAAAAAAAAAAAAAAACATTTCCCTTCTCATTTTTACAGACTTAGGACTGTCAGTTATCTGAAAAACCTAAAAAAAGTATAGAAAATGTTCAGTAATCATTCAAATCTTATTACAAATAATCTCTCATCCAAAAATATATTAGACTACTCACGCTAGATCAGAAGTCACCAATTAATATTTTTATAGGTCTACATTGATAATTTTAAAATTTTTGAGGACCATTTAAATTCAAAGAAAATATTTTTAACATATTAAAATGCAAAAAAAGGTTTGGAAAATGATATATATTTAGTCTCATAATGAAGTTTAATATTAAAAACATTAATAATAAGCATACTTTATTCCACATGGTAAAGAGCAACCAGATGGGTTATGCTCCATCTGTCATCCCACCAAAAAATGTATTTTAACGTTAATTACACGATGATGGGTCGGAAGACAGAAACGTGAAAACAAATCCCTATTGGTCATTTGGTTAAACTGTTGAAAAATAGAGGGGAAAATAATCACCTTGGTTCCATCCAAAATGATACCACAAGCTTTAAACATATAGTTTAAGCGATTTATGTAATTTTCTAATGAATTTTATTTAGTTTGTTTGCGCCTCATCAACTGTAGTTGGTTGTCTACCTGCTTAATAATTTTTTAGTTTTATGTATTGTGAAGATTTAAATCAAAGTGTGGATTACATAACTCGAATACTTTTTTTTATGTTTATAATTATTATTCAAAATTATTTCAAATAAAAAGTATTTTTAAATTTTCTTAAAATTGTTTAATAAAACTTCTTTATAGAAAAGACTAATAATGATAATGAAAATTTATATTATACACAAAATATATACATATGGATATTTATATTTATTCATGTATATATATGTATTGAATACGCAAAATTAAAAATTTTAATCTTTTTTTAAATTAAATTTAAAAAAATATTGCGTCGATACTTATAATTGTAAAAAAATTCAAGTTTCTACATTTAAAAAAAATTAACCAAAATTAATTTTATAAAAATTGAAACTGCATTAGGTTCATCGTTTTATTACAATTTTTGTACAATTTATTAAAAAAATAATTTGAACTAATATAACATTTTAAAAATAACTTTTTAAATACTTAATAGAAGAAATTTTTAGATTACTTTCAAGTCAAGTAAGTTCTACAAAAAAATGGATACAAATGAATAAAACTTATTATTATTTATTATTCCAATAAGTGCTTCAGTCCCTATTCTAATATGCCAACAATCAAATGTAGATTTAATATGAATAAAAAAAAAATCAATTTATTGTGTCCGTATAATTGTTTTAAATATCATTTATATTTGTGTATCTATTGTTAATATGTTTATTTTATTTATAGAACAACACATTTGTTATGTACACAAATAATATATTTACCCGTGTAATGTGGGAAATTGTAAGCGCTACTTTCGTATTGTAAATCATTTTCTATGATTATTGAATTAGTGACACCTAGATCTTTTCTATTGATAAATTATCTATACTATTTCTTATTATTCAAACGATAAATTCCCTATTTAATTTGATACTATTGCACGCGCTGAATTTCTATATGTTTATCGTCATTTGCTGATACATATACTCGTATTTTAATTTTTTTAAAGCTTAGTAAAGGTTTGATGAACTCAATTTTAAATAAAAATTTATTTCTAGACGTAAGGTTAGGTTAGGTTATGTTGATTTCATATGCGTATAAAATTAAGTTAGCGTATATTTTATCACATTACCCAATCATGCAGTGGATATAATATCTGTATTTTTATTTCTTAATATTTATAGAATATTAAGAATAAAATAATAAAAACATTCTATATACTTTTAATTTCTATCGACAATCATGTTTCTCGGATAAAATAAAATTGACGGAAAATCAAAGTAAAAACTAAAATTTTAATAATATTTTGTGCCTTCAGCTTTTTGTATATTGAACATTCAAATTTCAATAAATATAAATGTCAGTTTATAATTACAATTTTATCTGTATGACATTTAAAGTATACAAAAACGAAAATTGTACTCTTATTTTATGATAAAAAAATTAATAGCAACAATAAAATAAACAAGCGTGAGATCGTAAATCGAATAACGGGTTTAAATTGCTCGATACACGCGACATACGCATACACACACGTATGTACGTAGCATATGACAGTTTTTCCCAAACGGCAATTATTATTTTGCCGTTTTTTTTTTTTTTTTTTTTATTGTTCGTTTCTTACTTGACAATGCGGTGTACATTATACACACACATAAATACAATGTGTTTATTATATATTTATTATTACTGTTACACATGTTGCCAATACGATTTATTATATTGTCACTTGTCCCCATGCCGATGAGTGTATGTTATTCTGATGTGTGATCTAATTCGGTGAAAGACGCTGCAGCAGTCTCTCCTTGACCACTTCGACGGAGACTGATCGCGCACCGATGATGTTATCATTTTATCACCGTGTGTTTTGCAAACCGAACGAATGGCCAAAAATAAATACTAACATTTCTCTTTATTCTTATTTTTTCAAATACATGCACTAACCCACCACTCCAGTTTTCCTTTTATGTTCAACGGCCTACATATAGTAGTACTGCGATGTAGAGTATTAGCGACTATTGCGTTTGTATTTCTTTCCGTTCGTTTAAGTATACGCGGCTCGGCGGGTGAACAGACAGACGTGTAGGAGAATAATGCGTTTAAAAAGAAAGAGACATTTCTATCCGAGAGCTGATAACTAGGTTGGAACTAATTCTTCAACGTTTATTTCGTTCCATACCAGCTTATTTATTGTATACGCACGCTTGCTACTATCGCCACCGCGAAGGATAGATAATGTGTAGGGACACTTAACAAAAAAAAGAAAAAACAAATCCTATTAGATGAGCCTAACGGGCTCCCTATCGTTACCAACGGTTTTCGTGAAGATAAAAAAAAACCTGACCATATACAACGAGTATTTGTCATTTAAAAAAAAACCCTTGTTATGTTGGATATTATTTATATTCTATAATGATATTAAATCTATTACGTTATGTTTTCACCGTTGTTCAGCAACGGATAAAATTTACTTGAAAAACACTTTATACATTTATTCTACACTACGGAAAAAAATATTATTGATACCTTACATTTTTATCATACAACTAGCTTATACTTTATAATATTTCAATTCAAAAAAACGACCTAATATCATGGATATTTCTCTCAGATTTGAGAAAGCGTTTTAAATGGTAGACCTAACTGTCATAATATAGCACGCTTAAAAAATACATCGGGGTTATGTGTTTTTTTTTTTTATCAAAACCCATGACAGTAATTTATTTTCAAGATCTTATTTGGATCAGTAATTTAATAATAGCAGGTAATATTTGGATTTGTTCAAATTGATATAAATGGGATTTTGATCATCCAGAACATATTTAATTAAAAAAATTCGTTGTATTATTGGGAACTTTCAAATATTATAATTTAGCCTTGCCCTCAATGCTTCATCCATCAAATAGATGCTAAATCTATGATCTAATACTTCGTTATGCTAAATCTATGATAACGAAGTATTAGATAAATAAAACATGATTTCTATATATACTTTATTATATTTACATACAAACGCGTAGCCAGGAGGTGTTACATCTGTAGTAACACTCCCCCACACCTTAACGTGTTATACTTAAATCTTAAAGATTCATAATATTCATCATAAACCATGATGAACACATATTATGAAAACGAAATATGTACATAATCGTATTACAGAAACAATAATGTAAAGTCAGGACCAGGCTTATTACACCGTTTTGTCTAATAATCTAAAGCCGTTATTTTGTGTCGTTTCGTGCTCGATTTAAAATATTTATATGAGAGACAAAATGTACATTTGAAATTGTAATTGAATATTTAATTATTTTCTCATACATTAGTACATAATACATGTATAGATATTCATGTAATATTTACTAACGTGTTTGTATGTTAGTACAATAAAGTATAGATAGGTACGTAAAGTTATTACTTTTTTGTGTAAATTTTGTCGATTAATTTTGAACAACAGTCCGCTTTTGAAATGTTTATCTATGCGCCTGTTAACATATAACTATAATAAAGTATAAATTATTTATTGACGAGTGCGTTTTTGTATTATTATTTTCCATTCGTATGATTTTTACTGTTAATATATTTTAATATTTTGTACTTATTGTACTTTTTACTTATTCTGAACAGGTACAGTTGTGCTTTAATGTGAGATTGACAAATACTTTTAAAACACTGATCAAATTTACTGACTGACATAACAGGTATTTAAAAAAAAACATCGAAATTACAAAATCATTAAATAATAATTATATTAGTGGTTTTTACTTAAAGTAAATCATTAAATAGTAAATACGTATATTGATTATTCCGATATTATACGATGTACGTTAGTTTTACGTTTTGTATGTTCTATTTTTAAATTGGTTTACAATTTTTTTCCAACGAATTTTTAAAAACTAATCACGGAAATATTACTAAAAATAGTTATATCGATTTATAAACATTATTATATACATATTATCATTATACCCGAGTTATTTTTCTTAGATCAGCGTTAGTTAATAGTTAAAAACATATTTATTATTTTTAGTCTCTAATACCTTACGCGTTCGTTTACTACTTATTCATTTTTTTATGCCAAACTATGTTTACTCATATATTAAAAAAATATTTAGGATAATTACTGGTGAAATATTTAACATTTTACAATTCAACACATTTTTTTAATTTAAATATTAGTGATTTTTCTATTAACAGCCGAAAAAATATCCATTATGAATTTATAAAACCATTGCTATCGGCCATTTTTAAATATTATTGTTATAGTACCTATTCGCCTATTTATAATTATTATTTTTTTTTAGTATCGAGGGATAAATAATTATATCGACTCTGTTCATAGGAGAATACAATCGGTAGCAAGTACTAGGTTTTATGTTTTATGGATGAGTTGATGAAAATCTACTACTTACCAATTTGTTACCATATCCTGGCCCGGGATAGTTCACTTTTTGATGCGGTCGATCCAGGGACGGAGTCTGTTGCACCAACCACTTTTGCACGAGTTTCTGTTTGCTGCCCACGCTGGAGCTGCAACACGACGGACTTCTGTGTCTGGTGTGGGACCATGCCATTTGCTGTTCGCCGGATACGATCAACCTGACAAGTCGGTAGAAACGGAAAGCAGCCAGCATAGTAGTCAGACATTGCACGGACGTTGCCAGCAGTAACCCTAAGTTTGCTAGTACAGGAGCCCAGTTCGTTTGTAGCTGATCTGCCGTCAGGGTTTTGTATTGCGTCTGTGTGTACCAAACGATGTAAATTGAATAATATATGGATATATTAATGGATGCTAAAAGTTCTATTAAAGCATCATAAATGTTTCGAAAACGCGAGAAAAATAAATTACAAAAACATATTTTGGTTTTTGGATGGTTGCGGAAATTAAACAAGTATTTTATGTACATAAGGACCAACAATGGTAGGAAAATGTATTTTTATTCATCGAATGTTGCGAAAAATATCAGCTAGAATATATGTACAATTTTGGTTTGAATCTGACCTTGTCTTTGGGTACGATGTAAAATGGTTTCTGCGAGTCCTTCAGGAGTCCAATAGCCGTAAGTATTATAGCTAGATTGCTGACACCCACGGAAACTAAACACAGAGCCAGGTAGATTGTTACGGATAATGGTGTTAAGGTCCTGTCCGGCGAAAGACATCCGTTCAAACTGGCCATAAGCCCAACAACTCCGTTTCCCATTGCCATTGCTCCGCTCCAAAGACCGGCACCTACGCTGGATAAGGAAGCATCGTGCAACATCGATAACACGCCAAAAACTACCATTAAACATCCGGTGACCACTTGCATTAGTCCGATCAAGCTAATATATTGAATCTAAAACAAGAACGATGTAATATTTATGGCATAATTGTTGCGAATTAGGTGGGCAAGCAAGGACCTGTACGAGCAGTGGCGTATTCAGGGGGGGCACAGGGGCCATGGCCCCCCCTCGTTGGCTGTATTTACTAGATTTTATTTTAAAGATTTATATTTATTCGTATACATGAACGCATACTACAATAATATGCTTATACCAATGAATATTTTGCGGTTTTACCAGTAATCATTATTATCGTTATCACGTTTTGATAAAATTGCAACTCGTTGATTGGTCAAAATAATTTTATACAATTTTACACTAATAATTTTGTTTGGACTAACCCGTTTTTATTATTAAATTACTATTTATTATTATGTACATATATATTAACTTAATAACTGACTGAAAATATAAATAAATTATTTTCATTAAAAACATTAAATATTTGGTTAATTTTTTTTTATCTTTTTGGTAGTAGGTAGTGTATAAGGTAAAATTTTAGACAGTGTGTGCCCCCCTCTAAAAAAAATTCTGGATACGCCACTGTGTACGAGGAATTACGTAAAGTATTAGGTTTTAATTTTAGGTTAAGTTTCTTATAAGTAAATTTGCTAATTTGACTAGATATTACCCCATATGACTTTCGACAGTGAAATATTATATAGTATTTATATTTAAACGTTTTTCGAATAAGTCATCAATTAAAAACGCTAAGGTCCGTGGCGCCGGAACAATTTTTGAACCGTGGGGGCTGAGAACAGCTACAAACATAGAGGAAGGTATAATGTTATACCTATATTATTATATTATAACAATTGTGTCCGATCACATCGGTTGTTGGTAATCAAATGATTCTTGAAATAAATTAGATTACAAATCTATTGTACAGTCGCGATAATGGATTTCCTATTCTAAAAGCTATTCTATTTTGGGTGTTGAGGTTAAATATTAAATCATTTCTGTTTTCTAAATAAGGGGTACGCCCATAGATAAGGTATAAAATAAAATAAGATATACATTTTTTCGGATAATCTTTTTATTATAAGAAATTGAAAAACTTTAATTTTAAATGCAGGTATATTTATACGACAGTTTTTTTTTGATCTTATGAAAATAATCGAAAAATGTTTTTTTTTTTTTTATAATATAATCATAATAAAACGTTATTTAAATAATATACGCTCATACTTGATCGGAATGACGACGAGGTTTACATGATTTGATTGATTTTTGAGGTGTCTTAACTACGAAATCTGCTTCAGATGGATAGTACGAGGGAGTCGAAGCTCCCATTTTTCTGGACATCACTGAACCATGTGCTCATCCGTTAGTGCGAGAACCAGTAATGCGTGTGTCTTCTGCTATCTTCTCCTCCGGGTATTTCCCCTTCCGGAATTCACGTGCCGCGTCCAATTATGCCGTAGCAAAGATTACGCAAAAGACGACACACCACTGCCACCGGACGCACTTCCGGCGTCTTCGAGTAATAATTATTTATCTGTTTCAATGGGCATGAAAATGGCAATTTCCCAATACGGTATCATTGTTGATTTCGGTTCTTGTCAAACCTTGGCACCTAAGTATAATTAAAACTATAGATTGTAGCACTATTTAACATCGATCCTATGTTTATTAAATTTTTTACAATTCGATTGTGATTTGGATTACGTTAATCGAGAAACCCACACGTTTTACTCTAAGTAATAAAATAATAATTGTTGGTACTTTGTACATCATTTTTGAAAAATTCAAAATTATTTTCTATTCTTACGACACAAACACACTGGACATTCTAGATTCTAAGTACTTTATTAACTGTTCGTTTATTAGTTTAATAATTTCTAGTTGGCTATCAAAAGTAATTGTAAAAAGATTTGGATACGTATTCGGATGTTGCAGTTTAAAAAGTTAGCGTCTTTATATATATATTGATTATTACTCGCTCGTTACATGAATTACATTTGAATCAGTAACTAGCCGAATAACGACTAATAGTACATCATTCTCGTGTATCTATTTTAAAGCGTCAAATGATTATAAAAAATTGTTGGGTTCTGTACTTGATAAAGCAGGTGTAAACTTAACTGTTAACACGATTAGTTACAGCTGCATGTTTTTGATATTAAGTTGATGCGCAAAAGAGTAAAATTCTTGGAATAAGTGTTTTATTTTGGTCTGGCAATACTTTTGTGTCGATTGTTAAGATTTAGCAAGTTAGCTATGTTGTCGAACATTACTTTGAGCGATGAAAAGAAAAACATTATATAAAAAATGGAACCATTGGGTGACAGCGTGACACTATATAAAGTGATTTAAAATATTTTAATTTATATGGTATTTTAATATTCTTCGAGTGATGATTATTGAAATGTGATTATGATAATAGAAAATACCTACTGACTTCCCGGTCTTATGAAATTTAAAAACTCACCTAATATAAATTGTAATCCTTAATTAATATTGTAAAAATAATTAAATAATTCGATATCTTGAATGTATCATAAAAGTAAAGGTGCGTAAAGTACAGTACCTTATATTATGACAAACACATTGATGTACATTCATTTAATGTCGATAATACCTATATATAAAAAACAACTTAAAAATATATTTACGGAAGTAATCAATAATACGGAGTAATATGATAACCAAAATTGTAGGAAGAACAATTGACATGGTTGCATTAAACATTATTTATGAACTTAAATGAAAGATTAGCAACAATTAAATTTTTAGTAATTTGTTCCGAATTCAATTTTTCGTTGATGGGCATTACTCATCAGATACTTCATGTTATTATTTTGTATATTAGTTAATTCATTTCGTGATTTCCAATTATTTTCGTTTAAGTACGATTAATAATTAATTTAATGTAATAATTTGATAATTATAAAAAAATAATAGTAGTTTTATTTACTTCAATTATTTGATTACTACCGTACTTATCTAAATTTAACTTACTGTTTGTCGTACATCAGATTTCATAGAGTTTCTATTGTCCGATACGAATTCGTATAAACTCTTCGATGATTTGATATAATTTTAATTTTACAGAAGCTTCGTACATGCGTACCTCCAGTTAAACACGATCGGATAATAATCGGCCGCGTTGTAATGGACGTTCGTGACTGATCGTCAATCGGCGCCGGTAGGGACGACAGCGGGGAATTTCTTTAACAGCTACCGGCTCCAGTGCCATTGACATTGACCACGTCCTCCCCCTCCTCACACACACACACACACATACACACGCGCAGTTCTGTTGCTATTATTCCATTTCCGTTATATATCTTTCTTATTCCCTTACTTCGTTTATTTTAAACGGTATCCTCGTCGGTCTTTTTACATTCGTATCAGACCATAAATGCCCCCGTAATACAGTTCTGTTCTTGTGTTTTTATTTATTTTTAATGATGACTGATTTGCGCATCATGGACACGGATCTACACATACTGGGACACTATTAAAATTGACATAATATAATAATACACTTTCTTGTTCTTGCTCCGTAATCACTGATATAATTACATACTGCGAAAATATAACGCGTGCATATACTTCTCAGACAGGAATCTTGAAGACGTACCCGAGGGATATGAGTGCATCGTGGGCTGATAGTATTTGTCTGAACTCAAAGTTTATTGCTATATTTACAATATTCCCATTTTAGTAATAAATGTGTTTTCCAAGTATATGATCATCATTTTTATGTTATACCTAAGAGTAGTTACAGTATAATCTGTATTATAATTTTTACAGAAATAAATATAATATTGAGTGTACATTGTACTGTGTTAAACCCATAAAAATGTAATCGTATGTATCTAAAAACTAAAAGTCTAGAATCTAAACGCTTATTTAGTTAGCCTATGTAATTTCTAAAATACATTATTTTATTTTTAATGGATAATTAAAATAATAACTTGAAACATATTTATGTTATGTAACTATAACTACACAATTTAATATAACCAGAGCCGTGTTAAGGGGTTACAGGGGGGAATTGTCCCCGGGCGCCGTAGTTTTGTAAAAGTAAGAGGGTGCCTTTTTCTGCCCTTAACATTCTACCTATGCTCACAGGCCCTGAAGAAAACATTTTGCCCCGGGGCGCTGAAATGTTTGACACGGCTCTGAATACAACCAAATATTATGCGGATCAATCTTTCTGGTGCTTGAAGTTTCTGAAAAAAATTTTTCACCTAAAATAGTGTAAAGGAACATGATTGGACTTTCGTCCCATTTTATGTAGAAAAATTAACGATTTTTTCGTTCCCTCATTAATTCAATTTCAAATATGTTTAAGAATTAAAAAACAAAAATTATAAAACTATGTTCTGCAGTATTTAATATTTAGTCATAACAATTTTTTATTTTTAGATAATTATTAATTTAATTATTTTATTAACATACGTCTTATATAGGTGTGGATATAGAAATAAAAAAGAGGGTGGCTAGTAAAGTGAGTTACTGCCATAATTCTTTGCGCGTGTTGATTTGTACAAAGTCTTTCTTACGTCTATTTTTTAAAATATTTTAAGTACCTACGTTCGATATGGTTCTACCTAATATTCAAGTGGTGGGCTTCAACCCCCATAATCCTCCCTTATATTCGAACTTGGTCCTATAGGATATATCGATGAATCTTATTATAACATTAACCATATCGTCAACATAATTTATATATTTTATATGATAATTATATTAATTATAAATTTACTGTTGGTCAGTAGATATTCAGAGCACCGTACGCTGCCTACAAATTAAGCATGATTAAGCGTGATTTTCGCAGATACTACTTTTTTATTTATGTATATAAAATTATGATTATTTATTTTCACCACAGCAGCAATGTGTACGGATCCTAACATAAAACTATTATTAACGAAGTAACTGTTTAACATTTATATCACTCGAAAACCTTTTAATCTGTATTCTGTTTCACTCTGTCAATTCTTTTAAAGTGCTGTAATAAGCTACATTATTTTTATCGTGACAGGTGATAAGTATTCGATTATACAATTCTATATAATATCGACAAACAATTTATAATAGTAAATGTTACAAAGAAGTAAAAATACAGGGTTTTTTTTTTTTTTTTTTTAATTTTTTTAGTGTTTTTATCATACATTTTTATTCAATGCACTAATTTTACATTCAAATTTGAAAAAAATGAAGTAACTAGCACAAAAATGAAATAGATTTAAAAATTGAGAAACTAAAATTAATTCAATAATTGAAACGAGGAAAGGTTCAGTTAATTTCTTCAACCCGGGAACTAGAACCGAATTTGGGGGCTAGGTAAATTGAGTCCGTGATATTTTGTATACATTTTGAAAACCGTAAATTGAGTCTCAGGAAAAAAAAGATATTAGGTAAGTTAGATCCCTGGGAAAAAAAGGTGGTAGGTAAATTGAGTTCCAACTACTTAACTATACTACCTCGCTGTAGTCGTTTTACAAATGACAATTCATACTGTTTCTTTCGTTTATCGATTCCATTGTGATCAAATAACTTCGTAACGTCGTAACTTTGATTATGTCTAATTAAGATACGTATATAGGCATATACGTACATTAGTTTGTCGTATATCGTGTGTCAGTTATCAGTTAACATCAATATTGATGATAGATCTTATGATTACACATAGACACGAGTGTACGAAATCTGAGCATTTTCACTATATTTTTCGTAGCGTGCATTGCGTACTGTACGTCGATTTGAGTTTGTTAAATTTGTATCTTTTAAGTTTTTACCGAAAATGTAATAAAAAACACAATAATATTAAAATTTATTTCTAATAAAAATTATTTGATATTTAAAAAAAAAATTGTTTACTTTGGACTTAACCTACTACCTTTTTTTCCCGGGACCCAACTTACCTACTGCCTTTATTTTCTCGGAACCCAATTTACCGAGAAAAGGTTATTTAGGATCCAATTTATCAACTCCCCAAATTTGGTCCTTTTTTTTATATATGTTAACTAATTCGTTTTTGAAAAGAACTTTCCGGGCTAGAATTATTTCCATGTGACGTTAGTATTATACACACGATTTACGTGTACATATTTATATTTACTATAACAATAGATTGTTTAACTTTGACGTATTTATTTTATTTTAGGTCGACGATTCATCAATTGCGACAAATGTGTAACGCAATTTTACGCTAATGTTATTTGTTAATCGTATTTATATAAAACGTCGTCAATTCATCTTCTGTGCACTTTGGGTCTTGACTTCAGTATAATTTTCAATCAATGGGTGTCCGAAATAATGATAACTGGACTAATGACCCGAAGACGGTCATTACAGTAAATTGGGTTGACTTGTTTTTTTCACCGCGTTTGGGCTTATTATTAATTTAATTTTATAATTATGTTGTCGTGTGACATCCGTTATGCGAGTTTCTGAACGGGTTTGCGGTTGTCAAGATAACCGCAAAATATGAAGTCACAATAATTATCCGTACGTACTAACTGCGACTATATTGTACGGATGAGTAGATGAGCTAGTCAATTCCATTGAAAGCCGGAGCGTAGATAATTTTCATAAATATTCGAGTTCGTATTTTTGTTCCATTGTGAACGGCGTGAAAAAAACACTCCGCGATATGGGTAAACATGTTGTTGGAATGCTCGTATGAAAATAGCCTAATAATGTTGAACTTCATTGGCGTTGAGAATTACATTTCAAATATTTTAATTCGATATTCCGGCACTAGTGTACAACGTATAAACTATACGGCCGGAACGACTGTTGTGGTTTTCTCCGAATGTTCGAACAGCATTATTTTGTAGAATGTTAGTATTGTGCGTCCACGTTCTTCTACGTGGGTATTACACATACATCATTTTTCACCCGTCATGGGAATATTAAAACTCTGTTTACTAGAAATCGGACGGGATAGAGAATATGAATTATTTTCATTCAACTTACTTCGCGGTAAGGTTGACTCGTTCTGACTCCTTGAACACATAAGTCTACGGACTAAAAGTCCATAACAGAGCAAGAATGCAGTTTCCCTTTTCACTTCAAACTCCAACTTTTTAATGAATGTTCCACTAGTTAGAGCTGTATGTTCCTCAAATATTTATTATTTTCATCTATGGCCTCAATAACAATTTCTTTCCGTTTGTATCTTTTGCTATATTATTCATTTCCATTATTTTACCGTTATTATCAATTGAAAAATTGTTGTATTTAAATGTTAATTTATTAATTGTATCAACATACCGTTTTAAAAATGAATTAGCGTATATATTTAAAAATAAAATAAATAAAAACACGCAGTGTTTGTTAAATTGCCCGTAGATAATTAAATGTTTTATCAGTGCGTTGGATACAATGTCTACTCAGGTTGACTAACGCGTTAGACCACGTGTTGGTTTAGTGGGCCTTTGACTACTGATACTGCATGTAGAAGCCATACCGAGAATTTTCAAACATGTTTATTGTTAAAATGTTCGAAGATAAAAATCGTGGAATACATTTTCACTCTAGAAGCTTTTCCCAGTTTTCCGTGTCCAACATTAAACGAGCTTCGTAAACAGCCCACCGTGGTCGTATCATCTATTTGATCTTTGATTTTATCTTTGATCATCAATTTTTTAAGTCTTTTTTTCTTTTTTTTTAACATTTGCTCATAATTCAATACGGTGAATCAAATAAAGTTCTTTGATCGCTATTGTATAATATTATATTTGTGGTGAAGACCTATTTGGGGCAAGTTGTTGTTTATTGTTAACGCTGTGTTAATTTTTTTCCAAATATCAAACTTCAGTAATTGTGGTAAGTGTTATGCATTTTTCAAATATCAATGATTACCAATGTTCACAACTTTTATAATATAGGGGAATATTTTATACAGTATTACGGCGTTATGTATGCAACTAAAAGTACAGTTAAGTTATCATATTTTTAGTATTCCTAACTGGAGTGATTTTCTGTTGATATGATATTACTATTGACATAAGTAAAGAATATTAATTTTTTCGATTACGCAAATCGTTTGAAATTTAATATATTTTACTGATTTTGTTTTAAAAATATTAAATTAAATAAAATAATGAAAGTACCTAACTACTATTAAGTTGAATTTTTTTTTTTTAGAAATTAATTTATATAAACATGGAGTGAAAGTAATATTTATACTTAAAACATTTTCTCTAATGAAATAAACATCATCATCACTGATGAATGTTGTATCTGTAATTTGTTTAATCTGTATTATTATTATCTAATTATATCCTATACAATTAAACCATTTTTTAGAAAAAAAATTATTTTTATGAATAATAACTATGTTAAAACGAATAATTAATCATAATATCGATTATATAAATATTTTAAACTGTAATACGTTAATTTCAAAACATTTTCGTTAAGTTGGATTCATTTTATACTCTTGATGTTATATCATGTATTATTTTTTACTGGTGTATTCGATTTATTCTTACTTTAAGTAATCATTGTTGTAAGAACATTGGTTACATCAATTATAAATATTATATTATATTTAAAAAAATATTAAAAATATAAGTTTCACAAACAATTTTTAGTGTTAAATATAATAACGATTATATATTTAAGTAAAACCCGGTTAAAATCTAATGGAATTTTACGAAAATATTTATGAGTTTTTTCTATGAAACAGTCAAAATAATTTTAATCATAATCCTGTGTATGCTGTACAAAGTAATTTTATAAAATTTAAAAAACGTCACAAGTTGCTATAGTTTGAAAATATTCTACCGTATACACAAATGCGATTAGGTATTAAATAAATGTTATCTATTCGTTCCCAATTTAATAAAATTAAAACGATTTTGGGATAAGTTTATTTTGTACTTAAGTAGTTATTAGTACAGTAAAACCCCATTAATCCGGACTGATTGGGGCTCTAGATTGTCCGAATTAATAAAAATCCGGATTAAAGGAAATAATCAAAAATCGTAAATTATAAATTTATAAAAAATGTATTGCATATTTTATTATACAAGTTTTAATCTAATACATACATGTATGTCTAACAATATGAAACCTAGAAAATAGTACATAATTGTATTATAATCATTACGTACATAATACAGTACATATTAATGTTTACCTTCATTATTCGCGCTTGGCACGCTTAAGCGTAAATTACTGGTTTAAAAAAAAATTGATAATCTTTGGGGTTGTCTTCTTTTTTCAGTGATTTCTTTAAAGATTAACTCGCGAAGATTCCTTAGATGCTCGTAATACGCAGATATATTTTCATCGTTATTATCTTCTACGTATTTAACGACGATGTTTAGATAGTTTAGATAAACTAGCGTAATTTAGGTATATAAACGGCTGAGAGGTTTTACTGTACTTATGTTGTTACTAAGTATGGTAAATTATTATTTCACCAAATCGCAATACATGTTAAGTTAAATCCACATAAAAATATCATTAATTTATTGAAAATGTATCCATTTCATGAAATGAAAACTATATTTTTACACTTTAAAAAACACCAAGCAAACTTATTATGTGAATCGCTTATTGTAAAATTGACCCACAAAGAATTGAAAATATTTTAATCTTTTTAATTCATTACCAAGTGTAAAAATAGGTTTTTCGGGAAATGGGTAATTTTTTTTTTGACAAGATTTGGAGTTTATGGATATATTAAAGAAATAGAATAAAAAGTACTCTGTCATTGAATAAACAAACGAAACAAATTACCTTGACGATTATTTTTTTTTTAAACATTTATAACTTTTTGACTCCGAGTAAAAATTATCACTTGAGACGTGTCCTCTGCATAGTTATAAATTCGGGGTCTTATATTGTAATATATTTGTAGTCCTTGGTTAATTATTTAGATCAATGAACTGCAGATATCTATTGTCACTGACACGTCACGTGTTACATCTGATTTTTAATCACCTAATTTTACTATTATTCCATCATCATGAAATTTTAACCGTCAAATAATTTATTTTTACATTAATTTGAACCATTTAAATATGATCGTAAGTTATTTGAACCATTAAAGTTTTAAATTTTTTCTATTTCAATATGAACACGAATTAAATTTTATATTTATTTATTTATTTGAATATACGCTATGCGGCTTTCGAGAAAAATATTACAATATTACAACACTGACAATTAAATTAAGATTTAAACTACATTCATTTAATGTCTAGATTAATTGAACAAAGAATAGTACTATGTTAAAGGTTATATAAAAAGTAAAAAGAGGTATAGAAATTGACAAAGGTACGAAGAACTATACATTATTATTGAAAATCGACATCATCCTTGATGGAGGGGCATTTTTCCCAAAATTTGTACAACTTAATGGTATGTAAAAAATGTCCTTGGATCTGGTGCAATTAGAAACACGAATGTCATGTCGTTCTAGCCAAACGGGTCCCTTCAATAAGTCCATTAATGAAATATCAGGAAATATTACAGCGTTCAGTTAACGATGTAATGTTGAGAATGACGTTGACTTAATTATATGATTTAAGACCAATTTTACATTGACTTAAAATATAATAGTTTGGTTTATTTCATATATATTCTTTTTAAAAACTCGTATACATATTTTCACAGCAAGCTAATAAGTAATAGAAATGTTTTTGTAAAACCAGTTTTTAGATAAATTAAAATCAAACTTGTACTGAAATCAAGAATACGGGCACCGTTAATCATTATCATAATCCGTGATCTGCGGATAGAATTAAAAAAAAATTTAAAACCAAAGGTGTTCAATCCAGTCCGCTGCAATTTAATAAAATCGAAAATATAATTTTATAATATAAAATAAAGTATGTATTCATTATAATTACTTAATCGCTTTCAATCAAAAAATATATACATTAGATAAGATTGAAGAATCTCATTATAAATAATGGCAGTAAATTCAATGTAACGTATGCTTATATTGCGGATAATATGAAGTCCGATCTTTAGTCTTTACTGCGGTCTACTGGTGTTTTTATTAATATTGTAAGTACCAGATGGTATCAATCTTTTCAAAAATGTTGAGCACATCCGATTTGTACACCGTTAAGACGTATAACCGCGATGAACGTCTACTGCGGAGTAAAAGGATGCAACACGGAAGTTTAAGAAACTAAAAACATGTTTCAAATAACAACTGATCGTGGTTCTGTGGGAGAATGATATTAAGTCATAGTGAGTATATTCCAGTGATACCGTCGGTTATGCATCGCACAACAAGCCCTACTCATTGTTGATTAATTCGAAAAGAAGGGAAAATAGTAGGTATATTAACGTGTTTTGTTCAGACATCTGACTCCGCGTTGCCGGTCATTTAGTACCACGCAATCGACATAGCAGTAAACATAATGTACAAAATATATAATTGGAGTAAATGTAACTTAACTGATTCCTGTGTTTCGTGTTGTTTTCAAATTCATTTTATTTTTATTTTTCATGGACAAGTATGATTTAACGTGGGAATTAGATAATTATCCAAAATATTGTGCCACTAAACACACATAATAATTGATACAAATATAAAACGTAAGTCCACAATCTAAAATATTATTCAGAACATCGTAACTTAATTAGTGATATCATGTTTACACTGCAAATAGAATCATAATCTAGTAATTTAAATAAATATTGCATTACTTATAATAGACCAAATTAGCATTAAATTATTTTTCGACCTGTTTTACTTACTAGGGTTACGAGTGATAAGTTTTAGATTATCGTGTTTTCTCAACGCAGGTGTTAAAAAGATAAAAATGCAAATTTAATTTATTTAAACTACATATATGTGAATACTGAAGTCGGAGATTTAAGAACAAATCTCGTACAGTAAGAACGGTATTCGAATAAAATGTACACCAATAAATTCGAAATAAATAACTCTAACATATTAGTTTTTATGCTGATCAATTTATCAGTTAAATTTGATCAATAATAAAATTGAAATTTTTAATATTATTTATCATGTAGCGTTTTCATATATTACTGTTTGATGTTTTAGTGTTTCTAGTATATTTTTAGTAATTTAGAGTTAACTTCTTTAGAATGTCAATACTATTTAAAAGAAATAATTTGTTAGTAACTAGGTGGAACTATGGAATTAATTTATGTAGTTGATTAAATTCATTGGTAATTACAATCATAATTCGTAAAAAACGCATAATTTTTATATATTTATATTTAATACGTATAAAGAATTTAAAAAAAGTATTACAGAAAAAGATTTTCAATATTGTGCGATACTTCAAGTGCCTACGTCCATTTATTTAGGCAAGTATTTGATAGTAAAAAAAAATCATAGAATTTGATCGATATAAATGATAAAAAGTTTCTTAATTTAATACATTTTCTTATCAAACAATTTGATTTCAAACGTATCTTCATCAGAGACGTATTTAGGAATTTTGCGCCCCAGGTAAGAAAAAAAACGCTCCTTTCCCAACCTAAAATTCTTTAGTAATGGGTATATTTGTGAATCGGTAGTGTAGACATTCAAAAATTTTATTAAAAACATCTACTTTTTATACAAATATGTAAATTTATACAATGCACTAAACGTGCTCTCTAGTTGTTACAAAAATAATACGAGTGTCTAATATATGACTAGCGTTACGTTTTATTACTACTTCTTCATAACATGTAAGTAATTATGGACTACAGTAGTTTTCACAGACTATTATATCAGACGTTGTAAACGTTGGATATTTTCTAATTTCTTCCGCATCATCTGTGGGACGGCAATTAACAAATTCTCAAAGCGCCGATAATATTATAATTATAGTTTCCTGTAGCTGGTTTTGATAACATTTCGGTCGCGAAAAAAATGGTTTTTACGTTGCTGTTTGTTTTTTATCTCTTTCAACAACACTTCCAAATTCCCTGAACCGATTATTGTCACGCATATTAATGTTGTGCTAAATCATAAAATGTTTTACTTAATGAAATGACAATACTGTATATCGTTTAGAATCACTGATTTTTATTATTTATCAATTAGGTAAACCATGATCATATTATAGCACTTTAAAAGTTTTCGGTAGGAAAAAAAACATTGCGTATCATAAATAATTTTTATTTGTTGTAAAATTTGGAAATTCTTAATTTGTAATGAATATCACATGCAAAGATTGAATTAGGAATTTTTACGCCCAGGGAAAATGTTAAAATTACGCCCTATCATAGACCAATAATCAAGTACTCTTCTCAAGAATTGCTTTCTAATAATTAATATACAATCATACTTATTGAGTTTTAACCCAATAACAGTATTTAACAAAATTAAAAATATCAAATTAGTTGTTAATAATTACAATAATTACACCCTTTAAAATTTTAAGCCTGGAGATGAATCCCCGTCTTCCATCCCCTAATTCCACCCCTGATCACATGTACATGTTATAATTATGCTATAAACTACAGTGGCATGGAGACATGTCACAAATGGGACCTTGATCTCTTGAAAATCGGATGGGTCGTAGGTGGGTCGCTAAGTATATTGCTACTTCACAAGTATTACAATCAAACATCGGTGGTTGTCACATTTACTAACAATAGACTTCAATTTCTGTTCTAGTTCTTCAGTAAATAGTAAAATAAATTTATATAACTTTGTAAGGGACGGGTGTGGTTGTGTGAGAAAATAAATTATGCCTCATCGATTACATTTTATTGACGATCAATCTTGAATCAATCACCATTTTTCGAAATAACTATAATATGTCATCTATCGATTTTCTGTAATTTGATGATACTTCGACCGTGGTGTTCGAAAATCTCACACAATTAGGTATATTTAACAATTAAAACGACTTATTTGTTTTCAACACGAGTTGATATTAATTTTACAATTATAATATCTGATACGTGAATTATTTTAATTTAACTCTTGCCCCCCTTCCAAAAGGTAAAGTTAAGAAACTCATAGTTTTCTCGTTTTACGGTTTTGACTCGACAACTTAACTCTCTAATTGCACGTTATTGTATTGGGTATACGGTGTCTCATAAGAACAGTTTTCTCACTCTATCGATGATTATAAATACTATAGTATTTATAATCAATGATAATATATAAATGTATGGGCTTGAATGTCAATGGTTTCAATTATATGGGTACAACAGCGGCGACATAATATCGCATATGACTGAAGTTAATCAAAAATAATACTTTATAACGTGCTAGATCGATTTGTTTGTTTCACAATATGGGAAATCAACACGTATATAACACGATAATAATAATAAATAATATGTCGCATTGTGTTCATGGCAGTACATATTACATAGTGTTGGCGGGCGATTTGTATTATTACTTAAAATATGATATATGTTACATGTCTGCCGGGACCGAAAACATATACAAGGCTGTCACCGACTAATCGAGCAATATTTATGCGAGTAAAACGGGCGTTTCGTGTGCCGACTTTTATGTATTTGTTAAATATATTTTAAGCGTATTCCTATGCCACGAGCGAAATAATAACGGTAAAAAATTAGTGATATTTCGACAAAAAATTACTTCGCTTAACTCCGGACGAGAAATGACGAGTATATATAAACCTACCTGATCATATAATTACTGATATATCAACATAGAATGGAAATTTTATAATACTCTTATACTTTTAATTCAAGTCACCTAGTCAAGTTCAATTGTAAACGATTGATTTTTCTATTTACCGTCTTATAATCCAGACACGGCTATAAAACTGTACCACAAATGTTTTATTTTCGTTTGGACGTATAATAATGTTTTACGGTGCGTAAATGTATTTACATACGTAACTGTGCGTGTACGTATTTTGTTTTCATGCCCCGCTAACAATGTTGCGTTTCATAATAATATCCCGGCAAAGTTTTACATCCGTTCGAAAACATTTCATACTTGTGTACCGGTGCTGCACGCGAGATGTGAACTATTATTTTCGTCTGTCATTTGTAACGTTGTGGCGGCGGTACGGCAGACACTGTAAACGGTCCGATTGCTGCTGGTATTGGTGAAAAAAAAAAAAAATAATAATAACAAAATAAATACACGAAAAACCTACGAGTATAGGGTTTTCCTTCTCGCGTGCCGCGCACTGCGGAAAAATGATTTAAACGCGCAATCCAAATATTAATAGAAATGCGATTTCGTCGCTCGACACGCGGTGAGCGTTATTGTTTCGTTGTACGCATACAAATAGCATACACAACATTGCCAGCCCATTTTTTCACGAATCTCCCTGGTACAGATCTCGGTTAACTATAGCCGAGCGCGGATACAAGGGGGGCTATGGTGGTAGAATCATATGGGACACAGGTACTTAAAATATTTAAACAATTAGACGTAAGAAAGACTTCGTACACATCGACATGCGCAACGAATTATGGCAGTTAACTCACTTTACTAGGCCCCCCACTTTTTTTCATTTCTAGATCCATGCCTGATTATAGCCTATGTAGCCACAGTGATTACATTACGGTTCAAGAAAAACAATTGCCTGTTTGGACGTTCGGGTACGTATTTTAACGTGGTCAGAATATGATACGTGACGGTGCAGGAGAATCATGCATGTCTAAAGACGAAAATACTACTGATCTTGTTAAAAAATAAATGTCCTGAAGAGCACCGCTCTTGAAGGAAATATAACAATTTTCATAATATTTCAATGGTTTTCGTTTCACTTGAAAAATCCCAAAGGCCCCTCTTGGACACGCTTATGTTCGATATCCCACCAAATTTTTCATAAGCCACGTGAAACGTACGATGCATTTTTTTGTCAACCGTAAGAATATTAACAGAATATAACATAAATGTTTAGCACATTGCTCGTTGGCTCGGATCAGAACATAAATAATTGATTTGTACGCGTATGTGTGTAATAGTTGACCCGTCTGAGAATCGATAACTCGGCGGTACCTATGCGTAGAGGTTCGTATTTTGTGGCGATTTTCTTTGAATGAACAAAACGCGAGGAAAAGGAAAATCTATGGTGCAATTGTGTAATTTTTGGGAATCTTGACGAAATGTGGTCGTATTATTTTTGTATTTTTCTTATTAGTTTAATCGAGATTTCTTTTTACGGACGTTATCCACAATGCGTTCACTGCCGCGTTAGACAAAAACCTACGCCGGCCGAATGTGATTATTATACACGGTATAACACGATTCTATACAGTGCATATTACACATGTGTGTATCTTTCTAACGCAATTAGAGACGAGTTTTACACTTGAGTTTAATACGATGTTTTCGACATGATCGGCGTCGGAAATTATATAATATTATACAGCATGCATATCTGTTCGGATTATTCTTAACGCGATAACTTATGAAAAGCAGACGGTCCAACGCGGTTCGAACAATCATTTAACTCGACCGATTAGAAGTTGACTGTTTGGTACAGACTTCAAAAATACCCACTTGTTTAACTGTACGATATTATGTACGTGTATAGCCGGAAATACGACTGTGGTGACTGAGATTTTGTTTATATGTTTTCGAAGGTTAGGTAATTTATTACGCGGAAGGTGAAAATCACGACTGGGTATATTCACATAATTAATCATTATCGCCAAGGCTCGAAACTTTAAGCATTTGCATATTTGTTGAGAAAGTGCATATTGATACATGTCAATAGAAATTCGAGTACGTTTATTTCGAATACAAACATTTTTGTTGCATCATTTTGGATATTTTTTTTATTTATTCTTTTTTTTTTTTGTAGGAATTCGCTTAGGTTTAAGAAATTGTATAAGCATATTTCATAGATTTATCGAAATAATTTTTTTTTTACATATTTATAGTTCAACAAAAAGTGTTAGATATGTGACAACCAAAATTCTACATTTTATATAATTTGAAGAAATTAATAAATTCATCGATGGCTATTTTATTATTGTTTCCGTGCTATTAATAATGATATTATAACCTCTATTGCACTGAAAAATCGTAATAGTGACCGCCAACGTATTAATTTTTATCGAAATTAACCAAGAAATTATTATTGTACTATAATATAAAGGGATCGTTATCAGTATTTTTGCATTTATACTAAAGATAATTAAAGTTTGTATAACTTGTATAACAGGAAGATACCACAAGTGTGCAGTGTTTATTTATTTTTAATTTAATTTTTATTATTTTTCTCGAGTGCTTAATTTATGTAAATTGTATTTTATCCAATAAATTATATATTTTTGCGTATTTTTCAAATTTTTAATGGATACTTTACCGCATATTATGATATTTTTAACGCATATATATACACACATTTGAGAACTTTTTAGCGCATAAAGTTCCAAGTCTTGACTATCATCATTCTAAAACGTTTACCTTAACCTCAAACCACCGATATTAAATAATTAAGTCGTACATCTTTATTGACGAGTCACGAACAACTATCTGATCTAGAAGACGTTTTTTTTCCTTATTGGTTAGAAATTAAGATCGACACACTCGCGGCATTGCTATCTTGTTTGCTTACAGTACTATGTATTAGATTATTCAATATGATATAAATTACTCAATTTTATTGCAAATCGAAAAAATCATAAGGAATCATTACACTCACGTTAAGATCATCGAGGAAATATTATATTTTACTAAATTTTTATGGATCGTATACTTAATTAAACGTTTCGTGTATTAACTGTAAAGTGTAATATTGATCGAATCAAATAATACGAGTACAAAAAAAGTAAAAAATTATAAAATCACAAAAAAAAAAAAAAATGTATACGAAATACTTGCATGGTATGCAATTGCAGACACCAAAGAAACTTAATATAAGTAATTTTTTGATATTTTAAACGATAAATTGGAGTTATATATACTTCACATTTTTAGAATATTTGTACTAACAATCTCTTGATGATCGACGTAGTGAAATATAATAAAAAAAAACGTAGTATTAAGTCCATAGTTTTTTATTTATATACACAGAGACAATTACCTCATAAATAAGTGGTAAATATTCAATAAACATCCTACATAATTTTTTTCTAAAAAATAGATTTTATCTTAGTCTTTTATTAAAGAATGATTGCACACTGGAACATTTCTAAGTACTAGTAAAATGACAGTAAAAAAAATAATAATAAATATTATTGAAATCCATTTATTTTGAAGATTAACAATCATTTTTAATATTGAAGAAAATAGTATGATATAATTATTATTAATCATTATTATTAATTTTGACCATGGTTACTTCTCAAAATTCTCAAAAACAAGTCTTATATACTCCTTTAATTAGAGATTGACCATGTTATCCACCTTGGACTTCTCTTTGACCGTGCAAATTTTATTTTCATTAGCGAGAAATCACTAAGCGGATCGATATTATTTATTAAAATATCAAATATGTAAAATATATTTCTATATTTTATATATTTTGTAAAATAATATATATATATGAATTAATTTAGAAAGTATTCATTTAATGACACTTAAATTTAAAACACGTTTGTGTACGATATCAGTGCTTGGGGGCATTATAGAAGTTTTTTGGTACGGATTTACTACCCGAATACTAAATCATAGAAATAGCAAAATTATTCAGTCAGAACCCAAAATATTCAAATTAAATACGAATATGTGTTGCACACAAATAAAAATATATGAACCATTTAGTCTTTTTAAATGCACCTATTAAAAGTAAAAATAAATTATTTTTTATAAGATTCTTCACTATCTTCATATATACAATTATATTATCAGTTTAGAAAATTGTAATAAATTTTCATTATACTGTTAATTAATCTAATTAATAATATTAATTTGATTATTAATAATGATTTTCAAATTAATTACAAACAAATCATCCGATAAATTGTCTATAATTTTGAAAATTCCTGTCGGGGGTTATAAACTACTCAGCTGCAGTTCTTAAAGTTAAAGAAAAACTATTCTAGCATATGCAATAAATAAATAATTTATTTATATATTATTACAATACGTAAATTGTACGTAGTGTAATATAGTGTCTTTACTTGAGCTGGAATTAAGTTGTTTTCATACTTTTTTTATTAAAATTCAAGAGAATGATGAAATTATTGTTCATAAATGTTTTACTGGAAAATACCTTGATTAGCATTATTAATCAAATTAATAAATAATTTCTTTTTAATTATTTTTTAATTATTTTTATTATTCCAAGGTTAACTGATAAATCTTGAAGTTCAATATTATAATATTTATTCAACCAAAACGTTTATTATATAGTAGGTTTAAAATCATATTATGAAATTAATTATTCATACACAATTTACTTATTAATGATTTCTAATTCTAATTTACGAACAAACATCAGCGTGTAAAAAAGTAAGCAAAATAGTTCTAAAATTCAACAATAAGATAACTTAAAAATTGTCTGAAAATTTTAAGAAAAAATAGAAATAAATCATGTTATAATTGTATATATTATAAGGCTTAATCATTACATTATAATACTTTTATTAAATTTGGATTATTGAACTTAGGATGTATAACTACTGATCCTAATTGTTGATACTTATAAATTAAATGTATTCGATAATTTTATATTAACAACTATAGAACGCCCTTGATTCATTTTGTTCCAAATTAATCAATCGTAGTTAATGATTACAATAGCATAACGGGTAATCAAATTAAGTTATAATTGTGATTGCTTTACATATTACACCAAATAAATATAAATATTGTGTAACATTTTATTTGCACATTTTATGGTCACGGTCATAGAACACAGAGGAGGTTATTTTTATTTGGTTCAAATTTCTAAGCTGATTGAAAATTTGATAATGAATTATAGTGAAATTAAAATACTTATCTATAGTTAATTTTTTTTTTTTTAATTATATTCGATGTTTCTTGGATTAAACAGCATTCGTACGTTTTGTATTTTAATTCATATACACACACGCTAAGCCTTAAAATACATAACGAAAACATAAGTTTAATATATAATTTATTTTTAGTTCTAAATGTATTTGAAAACGTTTTGTAAGAGCACAAAACAGAATTTAAAGAAGAGAAAATAGCCGCTATTGCATACAGCCATCCGGAATTATAACTAAAAAATTATTTGAATCATAAACCATTTTATTTCAACCTTCGACTCATAATGTTTTGCAATTAAAATTGTTTACTTTATGCGTGTAATAGGCATTTCCTAGTGCAAAAAATAGCGCGAGGTTGTTAAATAAAAGACTATAAAAAAAACTAGCTGTCCATACCCGCAATGGAATTTCAGCAATAATCTCCTATTTAACCGTTTATTATTATTGTTACTACTGATATACTATAAACTGTATCGGATTTGCACAAATAATTCTTATTGGAAACGGGGGTGGGGAAAAAAAAAAGAAAAAAATTGCAATAGAATCGTTCGAATGGTTAAACGTACTCGGTTTAAAAACATAAATATTCCGAAATTCGCACGACTCTCGTTTTGCCGTCGCATTTCTTGCGAACTCGTGTAAGAACTATAATGCGATCACGACTGTTATCCGAAGATATGGATGTTTGCCGACCCTCGATGACTTTAGCCGGAAAGAACGTTTGATAAAGCGAGTCCGACCGAATACATTTAAAACATACGTACGTTAGCGTGCGTGTCCGCACGTTTCGCGCACGGGAAGATATTCAAATTCGACTCGTTAAACTTCGGTCACCTTCACCTTACCCACTCGTCTACGGTATAATCTACCGCGGTCGGTCGAAAATCCATTTGTCCGGTCGGTTCCGGTACCACGGTCCGTTGCGCAGTTAAACGTTTTTCTTTTCCCGTCGGCGTGCCGCATTGACGACGCCGGCGCGACGGACAAAACCGATTTGATAAGGACAGACACAGAGAGAGATGGACGGACAGCGAAAATCGTTTTATAACGGCAAACAACCCGGGCGGTTGTATTTATATTGTTGTAATCGTGTGTTATTGTTTTTTTTTTTTTCACCTTTTGCCCACTCGTTTCAGTCAGCGCATAGAAACAACGATGGTGCCATACTACTGTAGATCAACGCGGTCGCTGCTGGTGCTGGTGTGCGCGGTCACGGTTGCCGCCGACCTGATGGACGTCGAGTACAGCTGGGTGTACGTGGACTACACGTTCCCCAGCCCCCAGCACCGGGACACGGCCGTCAAGTCCAGAAGGTTCATACCGGAAAATTGCGTCGTGCTGGACGTGGACAGGTTCCAAGGTAAGCGCGAACGCCGCCGGAAAACGTGAACGCGATTTCCACGGGTCGCGGACGACCGGCGATTGGACGATCGGCGCTGTCAAGAACCCGAACGCCGGTTTCGAAATCGCAAAACGCCCGCGCGCGCTCGTTCACGCACAGTTGACTTTTCTAACCCGCGGTCGTTATACCGTGCTGTGCAGAATCGTAGCGGAAAGAAGTACGCGAAAAACGTTTAGGAGCGCACGTTCGCAACCGATACTTTTATTTCAAAATTCCACCGGTTCCGCGCGCGCCTCAAACAAACACGTATCCAACAAAAAACATTATCGTTACACATTTCTTGCACGCATATTCACACACACATAGATATATGTAATTCGTGCTGAATATAGAAAAACACATTCTACTCGGTATTGGTTTTTTCCCCCTCTCCCGTGCTATTCGTTTCCCGATCTTGTTTTTTCAATATTTTTTTTTTTTTTTTATTCCGTTTTCACGCCCATTTCGCTTATAAGAATATTGCGGTCAACCGGAGGCGATCGATCCTAACAGATTAGTTGTACCCGATTGTTTCGTATAACCGTGAGCTTTTATGTGTACGAACGTTTACGATACGAGTGATGAACAGAATGAAATTCAAGTCTATTTTTACAGAAAAAAAAAAATCGTTGTTTTAAGCTTAGCTCAGATTTTGCAATCGTGTTAGTCCCGTCAATATTTACATAATCTGTACACGAACTTCATACTGTCATAATGGTTATCCACGTTTCGATGTCTATGTATTTTTAGGTACGTCCGAAACAAAATTCTATCACAATACAGGTTCGAAACCCAGTTCTCTTCCCAAGGAACGAGTGTTCGTTACTGTTCCTCGTATTAAACCAGGAAATCCTGCGTCGTTGGCAGAAATAGTCCCAGGAGATCGGCCTCAATCCGTTCTGTTGAAACCATACCCCAACTGGAAGGCCAATACCATTGTCGAAAACAAATTACATTGCGACGACACTATTGTATCCGTGTTTAGGACTAAAGTAAGCAAATAAAACTATAACTGAACCGTTACATTTTTTAATGCGATTGATTTGAACGATTTTAGATCGATAATCTCGGCCGATTTTGGGTGGTGGATGTAGGTACGTTAGACCAATTCGAAACGACAGCTCGTTCTGTATGTTCTCCGAAACTCCTGGTATTTGATTTGAAAAATAATGATGAAGTTATAAGTGAGCAAAACGAAATCAATTTTCGTTTGCACATATTAAACTCCAATTTTTGTTGTTACAGGAGCTTATAAATTTCCACCGTCACAGGTTAGAGAACTTTCGTTGTTTACCAACATCGAAATTGATGTAAGAGATACCAAGGGTCGAAATACTTTTGCTTACATAGCTGACACCACTGCGTACAAACTCGTTGTGTATGATTATAAAAACGACGATAGCTGGGTAGTAGACCAAGCGTACTTTTATCCGTATCCAAATAAGGCTCATTTCAATATTAACGGAGTAGCTTTCGACCTAATGGACGGAGTTATAGCGTTAGCATTGGGTAAAATTGATCGTGTATATTGTTTATGTTCCAATGTTCAAAAATATGATTGTTTAGGCCCATTAAAAGAAAACAATCGGAAATTATATTTCCATTCGTTCGCTAGCACCAGAGAATCTTGGGTATACACCAACGTCTTGCAAAATAAATCGATTTTCCAAAATGGTTTAATCGATGGTTCCGGTACATTCTTTGTTTCTTCTGAAGTCAGAGATATTCAGTCAAGTGTTGAAGTTATGACGAACGATGGAATTCTTATTTACGCATCTATGGACAATAGTTTGTCTTGTTGGAACAGTCAGGATCCATTTACGACTAAAAATATTTATCCGATTTATAAGGTACCTAGGCATTATTTTTAAGGTCACATTTTAAAAAATTAAGATGTTGAACAATTTTTTTTTTTAAATTTCATTTTGCAATTTTATATATAATACAAACATATCTTTTTTTTTCCATTCTAGATATTAATAAATAAGACTGGAATTTCAGAAACTTTAAAAGTTTTAAATCATATTTTATAACTTTTTTACGTTATTTTTTACTGAATCGGGCATATTTTGGTGTTTTGAGTATTAAACCGTATATTTATTTACTTATGATTTATTAATAAGTTTCAAATTTGAAAATATAGTTTAATAACCTTGCAAAAGTTTCCACTAACTTTACAGGTACTCAGTGAATTTAAATGTAAAAGCTTTTGATATTTTTTAGAGCGATGAAAATTTTCAATTTCCCAGTGGTATGAAATTAATTGGTGACAAAGTATGGGCAGTTTCATGTCAACTTCAAAATCATTTTACATCTATGGCCACAAATCGTAAATCAATCAAGTACCGGGTGCTCGTTGGCCAAGTCGATGAATTGGTAAAAGGCACTGGATGCGATAAGAGGTCAGCACCAATCAACTCAAAATATTCTCTCGACACTAAGATTACATTTTCCAAGTGATAAAATAAAAGTCTGCGGAAAAAGCTTGTAATTTGTAAATATTTGGTGGTTCAAGGGATAATCGCTTATAGTTATTTAAAATTATTACGGCGTTTTTACGTCTAAGATGTTTACACACTATAATGTAAATGTCACACTTTTATTTGTGATTAAAGCAAAAAACAATTGGTTACACACATGTATTATATGGGTCATACAAAATTATCGGACCTTGACACAAATATTTAAAATGAATCACATTTTTTGGTAAAATGTATAAAACAAATGTAAATATTAAAAATTATTAATTAATTGTTTCAAGGATTAACAAATTATTCTCACGTACCTAGTAATATTTTATTGATTAACTATAGTATTAGTATTTATTATTTATTATCAATATTGTAAATATCAAAATATTTAATTAGTTTGTTTATATTTTAATTATTTATTTAGAATAATTGGCTGTAAATATATTTTATTGCAATTTATTTGTTGTTTTTTTTTTTTTAAAAAAAAAAAAAAGAAAATAATAGAAACAATGCTTCAAGTCTTTGGATTGGTTTCTTCTACGGTGGTATATTATGTACACTCGTCGTTAACACCAAGTAATCAAATTAATAGATTTTATTTGTTTTAATAGGGTGAAATTCAACGCTGAAGACGAAGACGAGTTTCTCATTGAATCTTTCGATGGTAACTTGTTGCGCGAGTGGCGTGCGGTACCAAACGCAGGACCATGGAGCTATTCTAGGATATCTAGGGTGTTTGAAGACAAGGGCTCCGCGGGTCAGAAGACACCTAATAAAGCGGTAGTGTTGACCGGGAACGTAAACTTACACGGATCTAGTAAACCGACTTCATTATCTTACGATTGTCGAATGAGTATGGTGGACGGCCAAGTAACAAACCCAGACTGTTTGAGCAAGACTCGGCGGAGGAACAGAATAAAACTTGGACCGGATTCTTTGAGGTGACATCCGCAATTGCTGTCTACACTGATCATCACGAGTCAAAGTGTCAATTTTCAGAAGTGATTCGTAAAAACTGTAACTTCTACATTGCAATTTTTAAAATCCATACAATATTACCTCATGTATTATAGTAGTTCTATGATTTTTAATTTGTTAATCTGCCGTTCCACCACCTACGAAACGTAGTGGAACTGTTACGCATGTAAATATAAATTTTTAGATTTAATTAAAAGATAATTAAAAATAAAAACATGTTAGTCTAAGAATATTATGTACAAAGTGATGGAAACAAGTATGGACTAAATTATTTCACACATGAAATATGTTTTTGCATACGTTTGTGTAGACTATAAATGACAAACTATGCGGGAATGTACACGCATGTGTGTATGTAATAACTAAACGTATCTTATTTCGATAATAATTATCATATTTCAGTTACCCATCCTTCATAACTTTATATTTTCGGTTTTATTCGTTTAAATCTATCTAATATAATCTTACAATAAATATCAAAACGTATTAAGGATGTAATGAATTTTAATTAGTTTCATACACTTATTGTTATATTAATCGTTGTGTTATTGTTAAATTGTCAATGATTATTATGCATTACTTTTCTGGCTTTTAATAGAAAATATTAATTAAGTTTCCATACAAACGAGCAACAGTTATAATCATAAAACGCATTGCTCACTAGTTAAACTGTACAATTTGTTATTTATTTATAGGTTAGGTTGTTTAACTGTTTTTGAATAAATCATGAACTTACATCAAATATTTTTAACTTATTTACTCATATGTAATTAAATATGTAAATGCTATATGCTTAAACTACAAAATGATTTGTAGTTATTTACAAATAACTTAATGTTACCATAATTTTAATATATAACACTATGTGTCATAATTTATGTGTACAATATAATATTAATGTAGATTAAATAATTGTTAATTATTTACTTAATTCATGCATATATGTACACCTTATATTTTAAATCAGCGATCACCAACCTCTTGGACCTTACGGACTACTAAATACATACTCTAAAATCTACGGACCACTTTTAGCTTAAAATAGCTTTTACATAAATACCGTTAAATAAATCGATGAGTTATTTTTTTTCGGTCATATTTAATTTGTTATTTTCATTGTTTGCTGCAATATATCTATTATCCTCATAATACCATGTCTAGGGTCTTATTTTTTTTAGGGAAATAACGATAAAAAGATTCTGTAAGTACCTAACTTCAAATTTTTCTGCAGACCACCGGTTGGCGACCGCTGTTTTAAATGACATATAATTATTTGCGAATAAATTTAAAATATTTCGCCATATAATATTAATATATGCAAAATACTTAAAGTTTTGAATATAACTGTCAATAATTAATGATATAATAATTAATAATATTAATTATTTGCCAACATGAATGCTACTAAAGTACAAATTGATTATTTATAACAGCCATCACTGATCATAGTTATCGCAAAATATATGTTTAGTTAATAAAAGTGTTATTTTATTTGGATATTTAATTATAATTGTGGTATAAAAATCTTTCAAGTTTTCATTAGAAATATTTAAGATTTTGACTAAATCAAAAATACATTTTCTAGAACTACTCGGAAGTACTAATCTATTCAGTCCATTGTCATACGAAATACGAGACATTGTTATGGTTATATTTTGGATTTTGAATAATCGTAATAATTATGGTTTTAAATTAATGTAAAATAATGTATCATTAGTTACCATATTATTTAATTAGATGGTATGAAATTACAGATGCATTAAAAAAAAAAAAATAATCATGCTAATCGATAGTTAATTAAATACCGTAACGTTTGGAATATTGCACAAGTGCACTAGGCGTAACTGGTGGTGGCTTATAGTTTAAAATAGTAACAATGTATACATGGGTTTTGTAAAACTGTAAACATGAAATTTTTCGTGTACCATTATTTGTCTGTACATTTGAGTGATATGCATTTTTTCTGACAAATAAAATATGTTTTATTGCATTATTGAATAGTAATGTCTGAAGTCTGAACATTATTTGTTATTTTCAACAGTAACAATTTTGAAAACCTATTCAGATCCAAATCGTTTGGCTCTGGAATCATTATTACTATAATTTAACAGGGGCCTAGAGCCTAGAGCCAGATCCTTACGTCCTCGACAGTTGTGACACTGATAATGGCTGATATTCGACTATACAAAAAAATGGAAAAATGTAAGGCTACCATGATTTATTAGCCGAAGTATTGCTATAATACGTATGTGCACATGGATATATTAGCGCCATAACGCGAAATTGATCTCCTCCAAGGAAGAATAACGGTACATAGCTACGTACAGCAGAAGATAATTATGGTGCGCACGATAAGGTATTTCATAGTGAAAAACCTGATTGAATATCTTTCTTTCAAGATATATAACCGATTATTTATTATGAATATTTTAATTTCAAGGACTTCTAGAGTTAATTTTATTATTTTATTCATATATATATTTAAGTACACATTTAATGGGTTTTCTATCAAATATTTGATAAAATTATTATATGTAGGTAGGTATGTAAAATATTGCAAACAGATATAAAATAGAGTTATGATCCAAAGTAACCAATCGGAAGGTTGCTTTAAATATTTACAATATCATATCTTCTAACGTTATCAAAATAAATCATCTTATTCCCCTACTCTTTTATTAACAACAAAATTTAATATTCAACTTCAGAGGTTTTCAGAGATTTTATTTATGTATATTTGCGTTTTGTACCTGTATGGTATATGTTGCTTATAACATCAGATTTGAGCTAGTGTTTTTAACTGATAATTTAATTTTGGTAAGTACGGTTGTCTGTAATTACCTCTACTATTCCATTATTATTTTATTTTTATTGAATGATGAAATAATATAAAATGTATTCCAACATTGTTTTCATATTTATTCAGCTCACATAATTTACATAGGTATATAGTCGATCTTAGTGGTCATACATGGCAGTATAGATATATATATCCTCTGAAGTCTCAACAGCTTTTGAAGTGTAAGTAAAATATATTATATTTTTAATACTTTTACGTTGTTAAAATATAAAAATTCAATTATTTAAAAATATTGCTTCAGAAATATATCTCATTTCTTTTAATTGATACTTTAGAATAATGTAATTATTCGAATTTCTAGAGATTGTGAAAAATCGTTTTTGGCTAACAAAAATTTACAAAATTTACAAATATTACGGTAAACTTAACGAAAAACTCATAATTAACTAAACTGATTTAGGTTTTTAATTATTAGAAGTAATTTCTCGAATACGTTCCGAAATAATACTTGTGTATGTTCAGAGTGCGTTTGCAAGAGATATGACTTATAATTGTTGTATAGATCAACCAATGTATTCATTTAGCATGACCCAGACCATGAGAGGACAAACAATTAATTTTTATAGTTTTTCATTCGAAATTATTCGTTATGATGACATTTTTAATCGAAATATTATAATTTTTTTAATTATTTAAATAATATAAATAATACTTATAATAAATATTAATTGTGACAACACAATCTAGTCTGACGTATTAAATACAAGTATAACACGTGCAAAATGAGTCAAATACACACTGTGTTTTACATTGCGTTTCATGTTTTCCGTTATATTCAAATTATAAGAAAGTCTTAATAACATATGCCGTCGGTGTTTACCAACCATCACGGTTTTGACGTGAAAACGCGCGTAAAAATTATCAATAAATAGCCGTGCAATATTTTAGACTATACGTATATATATATATATTATTTATCAATAAGTACGTACACGTTATTAATAAAAAAATTTCCAAAAAATCATTCGATATTTTAGTTCTAGTTGTTAAATGAGTTGTTAAATGAACAGTGTCATACAATTATATAAAGGTATAAAACAAACCATAAAAAATTCCATCCCAATCACATAAATCAAATCTTATTCATAAATTAGTTGTTTTGACATTTTACTTAATAAATAAAATATTGCAGCTATAATTCTTTGCATTTTATAATATATATCTTGTATTTTTTTAAAAACGTGTTTCCAAAGTATTAAGTACGTATTGGTTTTTAAATTATTACGGAAATGTAGTCACTTTTTTGAAGCTGAACCTAGTTCATATTATTAGCATATATACAAGTATATTTATGTATATATATGACCTAACTAGTGTCTTATATAGGTTTTCATTTCGGAGGGGGCCGATTATGTATTTGATTTTTGGGTGGAAGGGAAGGAGAAAGCACACTATTACGAAAAAAATTACTTTAACACTATTAGACTTCTCGACTGTCTTTATACCATCAGGGAAATAAGAAACTCAATTTTTTAATTTATTATTTTTTAAAAGTATAAAAACTACATTATAATAAACAAATTTTTTATTAGAGTCAATCAAAATTCACCACATATTTTCTTAAAAGAATAAACATATTTCATAAATATAAAATTTTAAACCCAGCATTAATATCTATTCATGTTAAAAATTACAATCTTTAACAATGGTGTTTTTCATTCCAGAGGGGGCCCGGGCCCCCTCGCCCTCCCATCATAAATACGCCCCTAGACCTAACCACTTAAACTTTAGTTTAAAAATTTGTACGCTACCGACCTGATTGTTTTTTTCAATTTCTAATGGGCATTTTGCCTTTCTAAATAAATAAGTAAAACAAATGTAGTTTGTTCGGATGATTTGATTAAAAATATGTAAAGTACAAGTGAATAGTCATGGATGAATGTGTCATCCCAAAGAACAAACCGTCTGGATAGTTAATTTATATATATAATAAAAAGAAAAAAAATAATTAAATTTTTTTTATTACAGAACAGGATTGGTAAAAGATTTATCTGACGAGTGTTTTTGTTTACAAACAACAGGACATTCTTTGTTTTGCAGATTTTTGATTCTTTATGTCCATATAATATAATAATATTAGCCCAGCGGTGAAAAGGACAAAAAACTTAAAATATCCGAAGGATAAAAAACCCGTTAAAATTATAGTTGAATTAAGTAACATGACATTATTTTAAATTGGTGTTTTTAATTTTCCTTTACAGTAATTGTGATGCGGAAACAATGATAATAATGATGATGTCACACTTCGGATTAACGCAGTTGTTTTTCTTCGCGGCTGCGACCACCGCCATCGGAGCGATGGAAGTTAAGTACAGCTGGGTTTACGTAGACTATCTGTTTGACAGTCAGCAAGACCGAGAGTTGGCTATTAAATCTGGAAAGTTCATACAGGAAAATTGTGTCATACTAGACGTGGATGTGTTTGAAGGTACTGCATGTCATAATAATAATATTACCACTGAAATAATTACATTTGTCACACAAACACGCGCCAGAACACAATATATGCACAGTGGGCGCGCACTAAATATGTATCTTGAAGTGTAGTAATAAGAGATCAATACACTTGCCATTTTTATTTGACTCCTAACTGAGATTGTAAAAAAGAAAATATAATTTTGAATTCAAATTATTACAAATACCTAATGTATGAAGTAAATTTTATATGAAAATTATAATTTAGTTCAAATACTGCAACCTATGGTGCTTATGTGATAAATAGCAATTAATTAACCATAAGGTTACGTTGTGAGATTATTTTTATAATGCTGTTACTTTCAAGTCGAGAACTATCCAAATTTTAATATTTATACTTTTTAATGGGTATTTTTAGAACGAGTGTTTGTGACTGTTCCTCGTACTAAACCTGGAAATATAGCATCAATCGCTGAATTAGTCCGAGGAACAAATTCTAAATCACCACTATTAAGACCATTTCCTAACAGGAAAGCTAATTTGGTAGTGGAAAACCATTTAAATTGTGATGATACTATTGTCTCCGTATTTAGAACTAAAGTAAGAAAATATAATTAATAAATTAACCTTTAGAACTAAGTCAATTCAAACAATTTTAGATTGACCATCTTGGCCGATTTTGGGTCCTTGATGTTGGCACATTAGACCAATTCGATCCGACAGCTCGTTCCGTGTGTCCTCCGAAACTTTTAATATTCAATTTGAACAATAAAGATAAAATCATAAGTGAGTAAAATGGAACCAATTTTTGTTTTTTTTTTTTGTTTCTGAATACTAAACTCAGACTTAAATTTTCATCGTTACAGGAATTTATAAATTCCCACCGTCACAGATAGAAGCATTATCTTTGTTAACAAACATCGAAGTTGATGTCAGAGATTCCAAGGGTGCAAATACATTCGCTTATATATCCGACACTACTGCGTTCAAATTGATTGTATACGACTACTTAAATGACGATAGCTGGGTAGTGGACCAAGCATATTTGTATCCGTATCCAACTTATACTCATTTCAACGTTGAAGGAGTAACCTTCGAATTGACGGACGGTGTTCTAGGATTAGCGTTGAGTAATGTTTTTCATTGTTTTTATTAATAACATTCCGATGCTAAGATGTACTCTACTCGTGTAGGTCCTTGGACAAAAAACGGTCGGAAACTTTACTTCCATTCGTTCGCCAGCATGAGAGAGTCATGGGTGGACACCAGTATCTTACAAAATAAATCGTTATTTCAACAAGGTTTAGTTGATGGTACTAACAAATTCTTCGTGTCCCCCGAAATCAGAAAGACTCAATCTAGTGTTGAAGTGATGACGTGCGACGGAGTACTTATATACGCATCTATGGACAGCAGCTTGTCCTGCTGGAACAGTAGGAACGCATTAACAATTGAAAATACTCACGAGATGTATAAGGTTATATTTAAATATAAATTATTTTTGTACTCTTTTCAATCGGTTAATGTTTCGGTATTTCTACAGCGTTTTGGGTTTGAACTCCTATAGTTTTTATAATCGTAATGAGTTTTACATTCATATTTTGCAATGAAACAATGATATTTTATATAATAAATTACCCTTGAAGAGTAACGCGTAGTAATAGAACATTACATTTTGAGTTATATAAACTATTTATGATATACCTATATTTGATATTTTATAGAATCACCAAGATTTTCAGTTTCCTACTGGTATGAAAATTGTTAAAGACAAACTTTGGGTAGTGGCATGTCAACTACAAAACCAATTCTCAACTACAAAACCTGATCCGAAATCAATCAAGTGCCGAGTGCTCGTTGATCAACTTGATGGATTAATAAATAACGCAGGATGCAAATAGACATAGGGTATTGATTGATGTCACCGGGTTCGTGTAGTGTTTGATGTTTTTCAGTAACTTTTTAACACATTTTTCATACAACAATTAAGACTATATTCTAATCACTTTATTTTATTATTTAACATTATTTTATCTTGAATATATATTTTAAATTAAGGCAGTAAAGAAATTAATCATAGTGAATTTAACTTTTTTAGTAAGACTTAGATTTTAAAATTTTGTCAATCATAAAAATTTTCTTGCTTACTTATGTTAATTTTGCAACCATATATACACTAATCTATTTATGACATTTATAAAAGCAATCAACAAATTGTGATTATTTTAATTTTAAATCATTTTATCTGCATGTAAATTCTACATAAATGATCTTTTTATCTGAATTTAAAAAATAGTGTAATTTCCCTTTTAACCATCCAAAAATATGGTGTAAACTCTTACACAGACTATTTTTAGATAGTTTTAAGTAATTATTACACAATACGCAGTTTATTTTAAAATACATACTAGAGAATCGTAAATACGTAATCGGAAAAAGTATTTTGATTTTGTATTTTTTTCACATTAACCGAAATTATATAAAAATTTAATATTAATTTAATATAAAATGCGAGATTTATTAATAAATTAATTTTAAATTACCATTATACAATATAATCATTTCATAAAAATTAAATAATATGAAAATAAGTGTCTTATTTACTCCGTTCCTTTTTTTTTTTTTTTTTTTTTATACACGCATATACAACAATAGTGTCTATTTGATAGACACATTTGATATAATAAATGTGTCCTAATTTTTGAAATAAATGAAATATTGTAATGTTATTTTCGAAATACGTATCTTAAAATCTTCTAAGATTGTATTATTGCAACCGATTAAAATACTCGTTTGTTACATTTCAAACTTGAATACTCGTTTATTACATTTCAAACTTGAATACCTAACAAATATTTATATGTCTATATATATATATATATATATATGTATATTTACTCTAGAAAATTGAAATAAAGATTTTCAAAGATCCTGAGGTGTTTCAAAATCAGTACACAACTAATTAAATAATAATTTTAGAACGAAATAATTTTTAAAGGCATGATATAAATCAAACAAGAACTGTCAAATTATTCTGTGTTATTTGTTATTTTATTTAAAATATAGAAAAAGGTATTTAAAATTCTTAAAAACAAGATTCTCAATTATTTTAAGAAATAAATAACAATGAAAAAAGTTGGATATTTTAGTAAGCAGAATGAACTGTCATACAATATATAGCTCAGAACAGTTAATGTTCAATAAAAATAAATATTCAAAATTTTTTAAATTTTTTTAAGAAATTAGAAGGATCTATGAGCAAAATTTGAGTCTTATTATCCTAAATGATCTTGTAACGGATTTATTAGTAATTTACTTAATAACATAAAAAAAATTGAATTTTTGTTAAATGTATCAAGTCTAACATTCTTTATTTAAATAAAAACTCTTGGGTTGGCAAGCTATAGTGAATATAACGTAAGGTACAGAACACCTTGAGTACGCTATTATTTTTTATAAATATAACAACAAATTCGAAAAATTGACAAAAAATATTTTTTAAAAAAAAAAGAAAATTAATCTTAGATTGTTTCATTTGATCCGTTATAACATGTCGTTATCACAATGCGTGATTAAATTTTAATGAAAAGAAAACAAAAAATATGGTGATTTATGCAGAAAAAAAGATGATGTTCATTGAACCAAACTTACCCTTTTTTTATGGGCAATATACCTGCCACCTGGGAATACCGTAAGAGGAAATTTCAGGTGACGGGTCACCACCGTTTATTGGAAAATTACAATAAATGATCATCTTTTCGATTGGGACGTGAGAGAGACAATTCTTATTCTACCCTAGCCATTGAAGACCGAAAAGATGTTAAAGACAACTCACTGTATGCATTTAAGGAAAAAAATATGAATTTTTGATTAACTATTAACATGTAATAGTATATATTATGTCTTTGCATTTAGAAAATGTACTGTAAAATATTACTTTATATTTTAACTTCTTAATCAGTATACAGCTTATAATACGAAACTATAAAATGATACTACACATTTTTCTTTTTAATATTTTTGAAAATTCCAATAAAAATAATTTATAAATCATGCATTAGGGTAAATAATCCAAATTTAAAAACAACCGAGTAAAATAATTTATAATAATATCAGAGAAAGTTTTTAATTCATATTTTAAATCGTGTTGTGAATATTATTAAAATATGAGTATACGATCGGTGAATTTTTTATAGTATTTATGATTATAAAAGGTGAAATTATTGATTTTAGGTGTACATAAGTAAGTGGCGTACTAATGAATATTCCCCGCAAAATGTTTGAGAATAATCGATTTTTTCTAAGATGTATTTTTTTTTTTTTTTAGACCGTTCAATTTAAAATTATTATGTAAACATTAATAGTACGGCAATGCTATTTGGATTATATTAACACTCGTATTGATGTGTGTATTATGCACTGCGCTCGTTAGAGTTTGGTTACTTGTTTATGAGTATGTAATGCTTGTTATGCATTGAATAAAGAAAATACATCAACACAAATCTTTTTACCTATAAATCTGTTAAACGATTAGCGCGGAATGTTCTTTGGAACGAAATAAATCGTGACAGTTGTGTTCCATCGATTTTCGCAACTAGTGTTACGTAACGCATTGTACTTTTGGCGCGATTATGATTTTTGTACTTGTAAAAGTTGACATTCGATTTATTAACAGCGAACAATGAAAAATCGTGGCCACGTATGAGAGAAATTATGAATGTTTCGTCACAGTGTGTGCAGTTAGTGTACGGTATTCGTCGACCCAGATGAACTGCTGGTCCACCCATTACAAAACGACCGTTTATTCAGAATTAACGCGAACAATTTATTATTATTTTCTCTCTCTCTCTGTGTGTGTGTTCGATTCACTTACTACACCATGGCGAACACGGAGTTTTCCGTTCGGCTGTCGTGACTCAAGATTCGACCGCACCTGTTAGCACGGGGGATCGCGTCGGAACGCGCAGCCGCGACGACGTCTGGCGTCTGCCGCAACTCGGCGGTGACCATTGTTGTGCGCTATTGAGTGAAACCATTATAACGCGTTCGTCGTTTGGACCGCCTCAGTACGGTTTCGACTCCAATGCGACGTTAACGTCTCTCATGCACGTCCACCGCGAGCACTCCAACGCGTTCTGCGTGTGACTCCGTTTACCTGTTTACTCGTGCTCACCCGTTGCCGCCTCGCAGTTGATCGGGATTGTACACAACCGATTCAGTGAGTATAAGTTTAACCAAGTTAAGTGAGTATAAGCAACAACCGTGTGATACGATCCATTGCGCTCGCGTTCGGACAACGAACGACACGTGCTACAGTTATCGACCAGACGCACACCGACAAACGCGGTTATACAGAATGTAATGTCATTATGTACACTAGGACAGCGTTTCCCAAAGTGTGTTCCGCGAAACTTCAGGGTTCCGCCAAATGTATGTGATTATTGAGAAACTTATTTTATATTATTAAAAAAAAAAAAAAATTGTAACAAAGAGTAATCATTAAAAACATTTTTTTAGAGTATTGGTTTTATTAGAAAAATAAGAGTTGAATTGAAATTAAAAGCATTAGGATTCCTGAAAACACTAACATTTTTTTAAGAGTTCCGTGACTGTAAAAGTTTGGGAACAGCTGCACTAGGGTGCCTCGTACTTCAACGGTGTATCCCGTTGTTCCAACAAAAGTAATACGGGACGCATTTTCTTCCATTCTTGCAAGTCCGTCCCGTATCGATTCCGTTCTCTCCTTGCTGTAAATCTATATAGCTTTTCGTTCAATAAAAAAATCTCTGCTTTGCAATGGTTTTTATATGGGTTATTGTTTTAACCATTTTATAGCGCGTATATTATATTATTATAAAAAAAAAAAAAATTGTTCCTACCCTATTATTTACCCTAAACGACTAGTGGAATATTGTTGTATGTTACATGTACATTAAACTTCAACGAAATCACTTGTTCAAACTCAAAATATCGTGAAAACGGTTTACTCATTTCTTCAATGAAATTAATCATTATTTTTAGCACATTATTAAACAAACATGCTTTGGCTAAAATATTTTCCCCAAATGATTTACTCACGACAAATTTCAGTAACTTACGTGTTGTATTACATGATGTACATTTATGGAAAATCGCAATTTTTTATTTATAATATTAAACGGTATATACATATATGTAAATAAAGTTTATATATTTTTATTGTATTTCTCCAGGATTTAATTTTAACAAATGTACATCATCTATTTATAATTATATTTTAATCGATATCCAGGAAAAAATCAAAAGTTTCTTCGCAACTGCTTGATATCACTGCATTGTTTATTAATCGTATATTGTTTAATGTATTGATATATTATTATTTGTTTCAATTATACATTCCATATTGAATCTGCATAAACATGGACGGTAACTTAAATCCTACCCTTAATTATTGTTAACCACTAATTTATTTGAATCAATCCATATTAAAAATGCATTGAGTACAATTATATTATATATTTTTTTGACTCATATCTATTTCTATTAATTTGTCACATAAATGATATGCTTATGTACACAAGTATGTTTCGATATTTATACCAAATATAATTTTATTGGAATTTTCAAATTCTATTCATTGACCACTAAATAAATTTATTCACCGGAAAAATGGTTTTATTTACAAAGAAAAATTGTGTATAAATAAATATATGTACATAATGTGTTTATAAAAAATGTATATGCGTTTATGTGTATGTGTGTGTGTGTCTCGCTGTAAAGTATTATTTGTACACATTTAACAAACGTTTAAAATAACACACCGATTCGCTCCAGTAAGTATTACTGCAACAAAATTTAATATTACGCCAATAATTATTGACAGTAACTTGACTACTTACTAAATACAATATTCGTATAACCTACATTAAATATCACCTAATTTGTTTTTATAATTATAAATAAATGTATTACGCATATGTATCATAAATTATAAAACTACGAATACGTATATACGAGTGAATTTTAAAACTTAAGTTTTCGCAAGTTGTTTTACTACCTACAAATTATTTTTAATTTTAGTTCTATAAACTAACTTAAAAGCTTTATAAAATTGAAAACTATACATTGTCATTATATAACACTATGTATTTTTAGATGGTTCAACACGACCATCCTCACTCCTACGTTTGGCCAGCAGATTATAACTGGATGAAACCTCAGCATCATGCTGAAGTGTCAACTGTAAGTCAAGTCAACTTCCCAGTGTCATCAACAGGTAATACAATCTGTAACATTGTATTATATTAATCGGGTTAAAGACGTTTTTAAGGCAGATTTACTAGATTTTTTAAATTCAATAAAAGTGAAAAGTGTTTCTCTTGATACCAGAACGAACAGATAATTACTGATATTTAATAAATCCACCGTGAAGGAACTATTATAGTCATTAATTAATTATAACACACAGCATTAGAGAATAATATATATTATATTTGATTCAACTTTAAGAATAATCTTGGATAAAAAATTATCAGTTAAAAAAATTGTATGGAATCAATGTGGAAATATTAAAAATAATAAAATGGTTTTAAAAAAATTCGCTTATTCTGTGTAATAACCTTATAATAGTAACACTATGTGGTACAATTAAAGTTCTTTTTTTATTTTAACAATACCTAAGTATATTTTTTTATTTTTTTTTTTTTTTAAATAGATTCAATATAATATTTATAATTTAAAAATAATTTATCGTTATAAAATGTATTCAAATAGTACAAAACAAACAATTTTAAACTTAACTTTATATTTACTTTTATATATATATGTTTATTGATTTTTATCTTCTATGGCTTTGGGCCTTAGAAATATAATATTTTAATAAATATCGTCAATTTCGTTTTTTTTTTTTCATTTTTGTAATAATTCATATTATTTAAGCTGAAACACTTTTTCAGAAGTACTGGTGCCATGGCTATTATCTATGTGGATGATGGGAAACAAAACGCCTACGGATTATCCAAAACCGAAATCGTTGAAAAAATACTATCGAAATGGTCGGAATGAAAACACGGGATTTAAAGATCGTTTTACATGGGGTCAAATAGATCTTGAGTATCCCAATCAAGAATCTAAAAACAAAGCATTGAAAAATCGGAAATTTATACCGAAAAACAATTTACCATTAGGACTAGAAGTGTGGAAGAACAAAATGTTTTTGACATTGCCGCAGTGGAAACCGGGAATTCCGGTAACGTTGGCGTACGTGAGTTTGAATAGCCACGGTAAATCTCCGATGTTGAAGCCCTATCCATCTTGGAGCTGGTAATTTGTTTTCAATATCCGATTGTGATGGAAATTTATTGCAACGATTCGTTTGAGTAGTTATATTAATTAGAGGTTATAATAAAATAAAATTGGTATTTTATGGTTTTTCAGGTACACTAATAAGGATCGATGTCACGGTTTAGTATCGGTATTCCGAATAGAAGTAGATAGGTGTGACCGATTATGGGTATTAGACACAGGTGCCATAAACTTGGCAAAGACAGTCGATCAAATTTGTCCGATCAAATTGGATGTATTCGATTTGAAAACCGACAGGCACATTAGACGTTTTACCTTACCGACCAATCAAACTCAAAAGGATTCGTTATTCACAAACATTGTAGTCGAGATTACCAACAATAACTGTGAAGATGCATTCGCTTACATGTCTGATGTATTTCAATACGGTTTGGTCGTTTACAACTATAAAGAGGTAATGATTGTGGCTTTCGTAGAAAGAATTGTTAACTCTTATGAAATCAAAGAAAAACTGGTTATGTAGTGACGATCGCATAATACTACTGCTTCGAAATGTAAAATATATAATATTATTTGCCATTTCCCCGTGTTAAAACGATAAGACAAAATAATTGTGTTCGAATAAAATATTTTAATAATTTTCCAAACCATCTGAAAAATAGGAACAAAAAATATTTGTAAAACAGATATGATTGCATTGAATTCGGGTATGGTCTATCTATGATTTCGTACAAAAAAAAAAAAAAAAAACCGACTTAGACGTGTTATAGTTTAGAAAAAACCAATGCGATTTGAAAAATGCAAAAAGCTTCGAATAAAATGCTGATTTAATTACTGCTATGTTCACTTTTGGCAATCGACATATACCTTTCGAGTTTTTCGTAACACTATCGACGGAATATTCCAAAAGTGCGTGTGATTTCGGGTGTTAGTCGGAAGACCAAAGTGGTAGTACGGGCTGTCGTAAAATAATAACAATAACAATAGTAACGACAATCACCGCGTTGTTATCTCTGCACACAGGACGCGTCGCATCGGATCAACCATCCGTACTTCTACCCGGACCCGTTGTACTGCCACTACAGCATGGACGGCATCACGTTCAACTGGATGGACGGCATATTCGGCATGTGCCTGTCGCCGCCGGGCGCGGGCGACCGCGTGCTGTACTTCCACTCGCTGTCCAGCCACAACGAGTTCCGCGTGCCCACCGCGTCGCTGCGGGACGCGACCCTGCGGCCGGGCGACATCATCGAGCATTTCGTCGCGCTCAACGAATCGCGGTGCGCGCGCCACGAGTCGTGCCAGTCGTCCGGCATGGCCATGGCCAGCAACGGCGTGATGTACTACAACCTGGTGACCCGGGGCGCGGTGGGCTGCTGGAACTCAAACCGCGATTTCGGGCCGGCCACGCAGGACGTGCTGGCCAACGGCGGCGGCGCGGCGGCCGCGATGAGCTTCCCCAACGATCTGAAGGTGGACAAGGAGCCGGCGCAGCGCGTGTGGGTGCTCAGCAACGGGCTGCACAAGTACCTATACGGCAAGATGGACCCGGCCGACGTCAACTTCCGCGTGATGGTGGCGCGCACGGACGCCGTGATCAAAGGTACGGTTTGCGAGGTCAACTGACGAGACGGTGTTACCCGCGACGTGATGCCATGATCCACCCTCCCCCTGGCCACGGTTCGTGGTCACCGAATCTCGAGAGACGAGAAAACCCGATTTTTGCTCAACGCGAATCCGTATACGTAACTAAAAGCAATAGCTGTAGTGGTAGTAGTAGTCACCGTTCAAATGCATACGGGGTCATGTTTACCACTGGGTACGATAGGTAAATGCCTACGGCCTCCGTTACTATGGGGCCTCGGGTTTCTTGGTATACAACTTTCATCGTACAAAACAAATAAAAGCGAAATATAATATTTAAAAATTAAAATATCGACGAAAAATCATACATATTTAATTTTACCTTAAGGCCGCGAAATGCCTAAATCAGGTCCTGGATTTACGTTACGTGCACGCGTGTGAGTACGTTTGAATGATAGCATCAGTGTAGTATTTAAGTTTTCAAGTGCCAAATATCATTTTTTTTTTTTTTTATGTTTTGCAAACCGCGCGATCGAAGCGAAAAACGTCGTCGGCTAAATGATAACCATGTACAAATACAAATTTCGTTACGTGTAGATATGGTGGCGAAACACGATGATCATTTTTAAATTTACTTGCGACAGCTATAAATATCATGATTTTTTTTTTTTATTATTATTATCCAACCGGTCTAAAGCACAACGATCAATTTCACGTGTGATATGTTATTATTACATCTCCGTTTACGATCTGACAGTACCAAATATATGATTTAACAATGACATTTTGATGTGTGTGAAATTCCCATCGATAATGATTCTGAGAATTCGTGAAAAATAAACGCATTGTGTTATGTCTTAGTTTTTCAAATTGATTTAAGAACAATTTCCAAATGCAATCCCTTTATAGAGATATAATGTAATAGCTCAAAAAGTAAATTTATTTCAAATCAAACAAATGTAAAACATATATGACTAAAAATTTTAAACTGTCTATCCAAATGATTTTGATTTACACGAATAAATTTCTAAGAAGTATCCCATCTCCAACGACGAGGAACATAGATACTGATCATCTGATCAACCTAACCATATTTTTCAATTCGAAAAATATACCATAGCACACAAACACTTCACTAAGAAAATGAAACTCTCATTCTCAAAAATGATTTGTTAAATCGTTTTTCATTTGATTACGATTTTCAACCATAGTAATATATCGAATCTGTGAAGTAGCAGTGTGTATTTAAATAAATGTATGTATATATATATATATATTTATTGTAGTAAATATATTCATAAATTGTTTATAATTGAATTTAATTGTATAAAGACAGTTATGTTCTCTGTTAAAATAGCTAATTCAAGGTCTAATTATATATACATATTAAAATGAATTTATAGTTATAAATAATAAGTATTGATTATTTCATAGACATTTTACTAAATTTAAAACCCATGAATTATTCAAAATTTTTAATCATAAATTTTTTTAAAATACTATTAGAATTAATTATAAATTGATTTCTGTAACTTGTGTCACAAAACTTCAAAAGTATAATAATTTTCCATATGTAATATACTAATTTTTTTTTGTAGTGTTATTAATTTTATTACATTTTATATTCGTCATTGATAAAATGATTGTCTATTCGCTTTTACTCGTATTACACTTTATAACTAAATCAAATTTGTATTTTATGTTATTTAAGAAATATATTGTTATATATTAAAGGCTCAATATTTAACAATTAACTACCTCTCATTTATAAATTATTTTTTAATAACATTTCAATTAAATTAATTGAAAAATGTAAAAATCTTTCGCCATTATTATGTTCAAACTTATTTTTATTTATTGAAATTTGAGCACAAATTATTATAATTCAACTCTTAAAACATTTAAACGATTATAAGTTCACAAGTTAACAAAAAAATAAATAGATGGAAGGTAAGAATTAATTATAGGCAATAAAGTGCCTTCAAACTTAGTGCTATGAATAATACTTAATCTGTGAACAAATTGATGGAGGAGGGTGGGGATAGTTATGATACAGGTAAGTTATAGACAAATTTTAGTCGATTATCGATTGAATGTTCTTATCCGATTTCGTAAGTCTATCGACGAACTAAATAACATGTTTATTTAAAAAATATGAATTTAAAATTTAAATTGTCCTACAATATACATCTATATACATAGGTTATAGATAAAAATGTGTTGATTGGTACTTAATTAATTATGAAGTTTTGTAACAACTATATTATTTTTCATATAAGTTTCTGATAGGTAAAATTGGTTATAATATATTATCAGTATAAAACGTTTGAATCATTTTCACTATACCAAAATCTATTTTTTCTATTACATAAGCACATTGTTGTATCTCTACGACTGACTATTCAACTAATTTACTCCACTCAAAAATGAATGACCTCAACTATTCAATTCTAATGTTAGTTAATTCTTATTCATTATTTGAGTAATTACGGATATATTTATTGAATTGTGATTTTATTTAATTTTTTAATTGTGAAATAAACTTTTTTTATAATTATAGTATACCATGTTTATATAAAATATATGTATATATAAAACACCAAATATAATAAGTATGTAAATTATTGTGATGAATTTGTATGTAAAAATAAAACATGATAGATTAAGAAAATCAAATTCACTATAAATAATGAATTATATATTATTTAGGTACTTAATTTTATCAATACATATCTTTAAAGTATCTGTCATATGATAGATACGAGTAGGTACTGTACCTATCATATCCGGCATAACAAACTCCTATATTTCCGAAGTGAATTAAAAAAAAAACGATACAAGATATAGAAAAAAAAAATTTTATTTTTAAAAACTATATTATATAAGGTTTTTTAAATTATTTTTTAAACATTATATCGTCTAAATGGTTGCCTTGACGAGCAACGTACATATGTCGTCGTTCTCGAAAGTTTTCCATTACTTTCGCCAGCATATTGACTGGAATCGCGGAGATTTCTTGACTAATAGCCTCCTTTAGTTCTTCAATGGCTCTAGGTCGATGTTTGAAAACTTCAGATTTAAAGTATTCCCATAAGAAATAGTCACATGGGTTCAAATCAGGGGAGCAAGGAGGCCATCTAACATTTCCCCTAAGAAAATCAGGTGACCAGGAAATATTTTTTGCAAAACAACACGAGAATAACGGGCCATATGAGATGTGGCTCCATCCTGTTAAAACCAGAAGGCATCAGTATTTTCGTACTCTTAAATTTTCGAACATAAAAAGTTCTCCAACATCTCGCAGTCTAGGTTGAAAGTCAGAGTAACTGTGACACTACCCTTTTAAAAAAAAAATAAAGTTCCACGATGCCTACTGTGGACAAAGCACACCAAATTATTACTTTAGGACTATGAAGAGGTCGTTGGTGTATTTTTATAGGGTTTTCAGCAGCCCAATAACGAAAATTTTGTTTGTTCACTGTGCTAGAAATGTGGAAATGTGCTTCGTCGCCACTCCACACAATACCGTTGGAAGAAACAACTGTAAGAATTTAATTACAGCAATTATTTCGTTTTCCCAAATCTGCTGAACTTAATTCCTGAGCTACTATAATACTATAATCTTGTATTGGTGTAATTTAAGATCACAATGCAAAATTTGCCTTACCGTTCGATCTGATATCCCGAGAGCAAAGGCATGTTTTCGAGCAGAACTAGAACTCAGAAGTTCACCTCTCTACTAAGCTGTGTATCTAACCTAAGAAAACTATTTTTTGAAATACGAAACCATAATTTTAGTATGAATTAATGAATTATATTATAAATGGCGTCTATCTAAATATGAAATTCCTTTTTTCTGTTAATTTATTACCAGTATATGATATGATACTATCATGTAAAAATATGTGAAGGTAATTTGATATTAATTTGAATTGGTCCCACAAATATTTACATTTTTTAAATTTTTTTATTAAGAAACTTGGTGTGAACCATTAATTTTGATAATTAAAATAAATATATAAATTTATAATTAACTACTAAATTAGAAAAACAATTTTTTTTTTTAAATTATGAAACCAGCCTGGTTGAATAAGTTAAGTGTGGATAAAATAACAGATTGAGAATTGGTTGGAATAATTAGAGAATTAATTAAAGTGAGAAAACTTTTGCGTTGGGAGAAAAGGGATCAGTGCATACACCGACACCATTTGCCCGATACTAAACTTGCCCGACAATCTCAAATTCAAAATTTATTTTAACCAGAGAAACTGTACATTAAATTTTAATTCGGTGAGCGTGTGAAAAAGGGATCTGATTGTAATAATGAGTGGGGAGTGGGGTGTTTTAAAGACATTTAAGGCCAAAGCTTGTAAACATGAAAGAGAGTCAGTTATGATTAGAAATTTGTTAGGGGTTAGGGTAGAGATGAGAAGTAGAGATTCAATTATTGTATAGCATTCAGCGGTATAGGACGATGCTGTGGGAGGAAGATTATTAGTGAAGGAAATATGAAATTCCGGAATAACAAAAACAAAGCCAACTGAAAGAGGTGTAACAGATCCGTCAGTGAATATTAAAATAAAATCAGTGAAACTTTTACTAATGTAATCCAAAAATAGGCCGTTGACGAAATTAGGTTGGGCGGTTTTAAGAAAGTCTATAAGGAACTTCAAAAAGTTTTTACTGAAATGTATTATAGAAGAAAGAAAGAGAGAAGGGAAGTTTATTCCGAATAAGGGTAGTTTGTTAGATTTAATTATGTATTCCCGTATGGGAGCGAGTGAATGTGCAATTAGAGAAAGAATGGGTAGCGATTTTAAAATATTTACATTATTTTTATATTTTTCAATTAAAAATTAAAAATGTACAAATGTTGTACTATTTTGTTGACATAATTTAATTTTGATCGGTACCTACATATTATTATATAAAACACTAATACAAGTATAATAATACCACTTATACTGTACATGAATTTAGTTCAAATAATTACATAAATCAATTTTATTTTAAATATAATTTATTATTAGCTGATGTGTTTTGTATGCTCTCAATAAGATTATTGGTGCTTACTATTTAGACGATTAATCCTTAAATTCTTCCATGATTTTCGGTTTAGAGCAATGATATTTATAAAATATACTAAGCAATGTCTCTATTGTTAATGGAAAATCCTTTTTAACTACTTGAAAACTATTTCCACTTGATTTTGATATATTGATTACGTTCAACTCTATTTCTGAATTTTCATTTGACGAATTTTTATAATTGTTATCTGTGGTTAGCAACAACTGTAATTTTGGCAATGCATTAAAACTTAGATTTTTATCTTCCAAAGTTTCTGTTTTTTTTAATTTAGATGCATTTGCAATTTCTTCAGGTGTCAGCTGTAAAAACCTAATTTTTTATAATTATACATTCTTATCAAATTCTTGTTTGCAAAATTTTAAAGTAAGTAAAACAATAAATAAATGTATGCTTTAAAAATGATAAACGCAGATTTGTTCCTTATAATTGCCTTATAGTAGAATTGATTTTTTAATATACATATGTGTGCAGTGGCGTACACTCAAAAATAAAATAAGGATACTATATTGAATGGAAAAATACCAC